CCGAAGGTGTTGCCTACCTCCTACTCCATCACTGCTGCCTTTGTCCAGCTTCGTGGGCTAGCTGGAGTCTAAATTAAAGTCACAGGCCTATCTGACCTGAGCTGCCACTCCACCTTCCAGAGTTGCATGCAAGGCCACACCACTAAGAGAGAACAGGCTTGCTGAGCAGTTACAAAGGACTGGATGACACACTCTGTAAGCAAACTCCAACCAGTGGTTAATGGGAGATGGACAGAATTAGAAAATATGTTATCTATTTTTCCTCCCTTCAATGGGCTGCTCAGAGAAGTTTCTTCTTACAACCTTCCAGAGAAGGTGCACACTCTAGGTAAACACACTTGCTGGGAGACTTGTCTCTTCACAGCTTGTCATGAAGTCTGGCCACTGTGGTAACATACTGCATCACGTTTTTCCTCACCTTACTTTCCCTTTCTTTCCTTACTTCACCTCCCACATTTGCACCTCCAAATAAAGCAACAACACTTTCATCTTTGCCTCAAGCTCTATTTTCTAGAGGACCCAAGTTAAGAAATTCTGTGCAATTTCTAGTGACCACTAAAAGAATAAAAAAAAGAACACATAATTTCTTAACAAGGGAGGAAAACTTAAGAAAAGATGAAATAGTTTAAATCAATAGCACAAAGAGGGTAGATCTGACCAGAAATATATCAATGATAATACATATATCTAAACATAAATATATTAAGTATATTTATTACTACACATAAATTTAATTTACACATTAAATGTAAAGGGACTAAATGCTTTAGTTAAAAGTCAAAGATGTCAGACAGAATAAAAAGAACATTAAGGGGCTAGAGGTATAGCTCAGTGTTAGAGCACTTGCCCCTAACATGTGTAAGGCCCTGGATTTGATACCAGAACTGAAAAAAAAAAAAAGGGAACAGTGGCTTACACCTATAACCCCAGCTATTCCAGAGGACTGATGTTCGAGGACAGCATGAGGAAAAAAGTTAGTGAGACCCCCGTCTCAACAAACGAGCCAGGCTTGGTGGTTTATGCCTCTAACCTTCACTTACATGGAAGGCATAGGAAGGAAGATTGAGGTCTGCGGCCAGCCCTGGCAAAAACACAAGACCCAGGCTGGTGTAATGACTCTACCATTGAGCCATTCCTAGCAAGCATGCTGTCCTGAGTTCAAATCCCAATACCACCAAGAAAATAAAACAAAACAAGAAAACAAGATCCTATCTGAAAAAATAAATAAAGCAAAAAGGGTTGGTAAAAGCAAGTGGTAAAGTGCTTGCTTAGCAAGCAGAAGACCCTGAGTTCAAACCATGCACAAGGCCCTAGGGCTGATTCCCAAAATTGCACCCCCACAAAAGAGACGTGCACATTTGGATGTATTTAAAATAAATTAATAATACTATAGAGTTCCAAAAAGGAAATTAAAGGCCAGAACTGTCTTAATCACCATTTCTACTTCCGCAGTCTTTTTTTTTTTTCTCCACTGGGATGGAACCCAGTGCTTCACTCAACGTAGGCAAGTGCTCCATGACTGTGCTACATTCCCAGTCCCCATTTCTGTAATTTAAAAAAAATCAGTATTTTCTGTATTATTGTGAAAAAGGAAATTCCTCCTTAAGCCTAACTAAGATGCTTATCTTAACCTTATCAAGTGTGCAAATAAAACCCAAAACTGAAGGAGCCGAAACTGTCAACATGGACATGAGGTCATTTTATACCAGGCAGGGAGGCTGAGTCTCTAACACAGAGCTGTAACTTTTCAGGAAATGCCTAGTACATTCCTTCTAAGCCAGGGTTAAAGGCATCTTCTGCAAATCACTGACACTTTATTACTGATAAATTATTACTTTGGTCACATTATGTCTTTGTTTAAAAAAAAAATGCGTATTTCTGGGCTTCATCGGGAAATCACTCTACAGGGAGTGATTATATTGTCTTTGCTGATAAAAGTTTTTTACTAAGCATTCTTATTTATAAAAATCACAAACTTCACAGTGAAACTCAATTTAAATTGACTAAAGTTTATAGATATAAAATACACATACCTTTGCTATGGCAGCCTTATTCACTTTCAACAGGGCATACCTGGAAAGGCGTCCTGCCAATAATGATATATCTGCATTGAACCTAAAACACAGACTTCAATCATACATTCTCACCAAAGTTTCTCTGATGATCTGGAGTGGGAAAGTTAAAAAGGGTAAGTAAAGTAGCCCCTGGGAATGAAACTCAGTGAAGCTAATAGACAGGAAGTAAACTTTGGCTTTGTTAGCCAATCACAGGTAACAAACAACAAAAATGCTGGAATGAGATACCCTCCACTAAGTAAAGTATTTTAAAGCTCAGGTTTAGCAGATGAGAGTGAGGACTTAAACAGGAGCTTTAACCTTGCTGCATCTGAATCTCATCTCCAGTTAAGCTTTCAAGCTCTGTTACCAAGAAGCTGATAAAGGTAAGAATACCAATTATGCTTCTAAACAACTTTTTATCCCCCATTTTTGGTAGGACTGAGGTTTGAACTCAGGGCTTCACACTTGCAAAGCAGGCTTTCTACAACTTGAGCCACACATTCAGTCCATTTTGTTCTGATTATATTGGAGATAGGGTCTCTCAAACTATTTCCCAGACTGGCCTTGAATCTCGATCCTCCTGATCTCAGCCTCCCAAGTAGCTAGGATTATTGGCATGAGCCACTGGTGCCCAGCTCCTAAAAGAATCTTGATTGCCAAATTGTATCTGGACCACTAACAAGGACCCTTAGTGCTATCCTGCTGCTGTTCCTATCTAATGTCCCTTTGAGAAAACTGCTGCCAAGTGTGGCTGTTGCAGTTTTGTGAGTTTGAATGCTTAACCCAAATCTAATTATAATTAGATTTCCAACATTTGGTTAATTCTAAAAAGAACCTTATGGTGGATGTAGCAGTATATCAACTCATATGTATTAATTTCATAACTATTGATTAAGTTTCATCTTACACTGAATTTTAACTTATACTCAATTTCTCGTCACACTAATCAATGAAATAAAAAGTCACAAAGATTCTGATTTACCCCAATTATAAAAGAATGAGATTATCACATAAATTTAATCATTACAACTAATTTACAGATAATAATGCATAATGACTCAAAATAATATAAAACAAGATTAAATGAATTCTAGGCATTTCTGTGATAGGACACAAGTAAAAAATTAAAATATATCTTCTTAGCAAAAAGTTTCTTAAATCAGATTCTCCTCTCATCTTATTCTTCATGCTTTACTTGGAGAATTAATTTATTTAAAGGATTATTTCATTCACAATTGCAAATTTCTTTCTAACACACATGCTGGAATCAAATACCTGAAGGAGTTGGAATCTTATGAATACAGCCAGGACAACAGTGGAGAGAGTCGTGAACAAAAACATCACAGTCCACACAAAAAACATTCTGGCACGCAGCACAAACATAGACCTGCATCAGAAAGGAGAAAAGTGAATAAACAAAAGTAGTTTTGAAAAGTTAAGTGCAGCATAGCTGAATTTCAAGTTTCTTTGCTCTTTCATATTAAAATCAATTTTTTCTACCTATTTATGTACATATTCTCAAATGTGAGGCAATTTCCCCCTAAACTATACCTTAAAAAAGATAGAATGACTTTCCTTTCGAGTTCTTAAAGTCTATTCTCTTATATGATAGTCCCAATCACTTCCTTTATGAAACTCTTTGGGACGAGACACACAAGCTTCACGCCACTGCTAGTTTTGAATGCTTACAGTGGTCACTTGACAGATTCAATTAGAAAAAGCACAAAATTTACCATAGATTTATTAATTCTTAGAGAAAGACCACTCAATTGCAAAACTTATATTCCTTTTTCCATTACATATGTCAAATGACATACATAAGACAGATAAGAAAAAAAAGTCCCTGTTCTATTATGATTACATGTGAGTTCTTGTGACTTGGATAAGACTTCCAGGGTCTTGTGTCTTGGATAAGGCATCATATATAGATTCAAAAATTACTAAATTTCAAACAACACAGAACCAAAGATACTGTGTTCTTCAAGACTGTCAAATGATTCACAAAGTGGTTCTGGGGCTTGCAGAGTAGCTCAGGTGGTAGAGTGCTGCCTAGCAAGTGTGAAGCCCTGAGTTCAAACTCTAGTACACGCACACGCACACACATACACACACGCGCGCACACACGCACACACACATACACACACGCACACACACATACACACACACGCACACACACGCACACACACGTGCGCGCACACACACACACGCGCGCACACACATACACACACGCGCGCACACGCACACACACGCGCGCGCGCACACATACACATACACACACACGCGCGCGCACACGCACATACACACGCGCGCACATACACACACATACACATACACACACGCGCGCGCACACACACACATACACACGCGCACACACACACATGCACGCACGCGCACACACATACACACGCGCACACACACGCGCATGCACACACACACACACACACACACACACACACACAGAGGTATTCTGGTGATGAAGATACTGATGTCAAAGAGGAATGTAAAAAAAATTTTAGCACCAGACATGGAACCCAGGACCTCACACATGTTACATAGGTGGCTCTACCACTGACTTACACCTGCAGCCCCAAGGAATCTAAAATGAAGTTAAAAAAAAAAAAAATTCTTTTTGAGATAGTGTCTCGCTATGTTGCCCAGGTTGGTCCTGAGCTTTACATCCTCCTCTCCCCGCCTCCCGAGTAGCTGGTATTGCAGGCACACATCACTATGCACCATTTAATAAAGTTGTTTTATGGATTAGGTGTGGTGATAGACACCTGAAGTCCCATCACTCAGGAGGTTAAGGAGGGAGGATTTCAAGTTTTTGAGGCCACCTTGGGATACATAGCAAAATCCTGTCTCAAAACCACATCTTAAAACCACAAGAGTGGAATTAACATGCAACACTTGTTTTCTGTGGATGGTTTTTTTGTTTTGGTGCTGAGGACTGAACCCAGTATCTCTCAAGTGCTAAGTATGAGCTCTACCACTGAGCTATAGCTTCAACCCCTAAAGAAGAAAACTCCTAATTAATACTTGATATAGTTTATATATAGCTCTTTTAGGTTTTTTTTGGAAGTACTGGGGTTTGAACTCAGGGCCTCAAGCATGCTAGAATGGGTGCTCTACCACTTGAGTCACTCCACCAGCCCATGAAGTATAGTTTTAAATATGGAGATATAAAAATAAAAAAATTAAAACTACCCACAGTACAATATAATAGATAAAAATTAAAACTAGACATGATTGTATTATTTGTATCAATACAAGTTGATATATTCAAATTGGCAATCTTCAAAAAAATTTATTTTAATTGTTGTTGCTGTTTTTTGAGATGAGGTCTCACTATGTTGCCCAGGGTGACCTTGAACTCCTGAGCTCAAGCAACCCACCTGCCTCAGACTCCAAAGTACCTGGGACTACAAGTACATGCCACTGCTCTTGGTTCTGTCTTCAAAACTTTTATAAAATACTTTCTCATTGGCACAATTTTTAATTTGTGGTCATCTTAAGTGTTAACTTCAAAATGAGTTATAACTGAACCTCAACTGTAATATGAAGAAACATTTTAAATACTTACAAATCAAATGCAGCTTAGTATGAAAACTGAACACAAAATAGTAAAATATCTTTACAGCAAAATTAGAATGCAAAATGACAAAAGTACTATTTAAATTATTATGTTCCCATTTTACCTCTACCTACTGTAATTATATGTATGGGGAATAAAATTATATAAGGGTGTTCAGCAATCTACGGAGAACTTATACTATTTTCTTTGTATTTCTATTTTCTTTAAATCTCAAATATTACTTACTATTTAGAAAACCAATAAACTTACATGTTGGTCTTTCAATTCCCCCTGACATCCATAACAAGATCTGAAAGCAAAAGTTTAAGAATCATTTTGTTTAGAATTCATTAAAATAATGCAATAAAATCTGCATAGCTAGAATTTTTTGTAGATAAAGATTAAACTTATTTTTGCTTTGATTTTTTATTCATTTTGTGTGTGCGTGGTGCTGGAATCAAATCCACAACCTTGTGCATGCTAGGCAAGCACTCCACCCCTGAGTTATAACCCTAGTCTTAGTTTTTGTTTTTGTTTTTTTTTTTGGCAAAATGTAGTTTGAACTCAGGGCCTCTGGCTTGCCAAGCAGGTACTCCATCACTTGAGCCACACAGGCGCTCTACTGCTTCAGTTGCACCTCCAGTCCCCTAGAGCCTTTTAAGTAATTGCCTTGGCCATGACGTATAGGCAAAAGAAACAGGAATTCTAATAGTTTTTAAATTCCACAAGGTCATCAGACATCAGGATGCCAAGGTCATTAAAACCCCCAAATTTTTGTTTTTACTTTCATTAAGGCTAAATATGTACATCCTTTTGAAATGGGGTTCTGTAAGAAAACTGATCCATACAGGAAATGATTTAAGTTACTATTTTTCAATTCTCCTGAGCATGGTAGACACCAGTACAATTCTGGGAGGTCAGAAGTGGTAATGTGAACATGCTTGTCATTAAGAATTTTTAAATTTATTAGCATAAATTAATTGTTCAGTGGGGTTTCATTGTGATATTTACATATATGCATATAATATAATTTGATACATGCCGTATGTGAATATCAGTAAAGCCAGTATTTGTGGAGTTTGTATTACTCAACACCCCTCTTTTTCTCCCCCCACATTATTTAACAGCAAATCAAACAAAATTCAACAGAAAGCAATTGATTATATAAATCATGATATACTAATGAAAAATGCAACAATTTCAAAAATAAGACTGATTTGGATATGCTTATATGAAATGACTTTCAAGTGATATTTTAAGTGTGAAAAGAGAGGAAATGCATGGATACCTAATTGTCTACTAGTTAATGATTCCTAAATCCTGAAGGTTCTTAAAAGCAGTAAACTTTTATTTCCTGAAAACTACTGTATAATTCACTGACTGCCTCTACTTCAGGCTTTACTAGTGAGATTTCACAGACTATCACTAATGAAAATATTAACAGTGTTGATTAATTATGTTACGCCAGCCTCTTATTTGCAGTGGTATGGTAGAGCTCAATAGGGTCAATTGTTAAATTATTAAGGAATTTTGAGACCTGGTTGTTAAACTGTTCATAGCTGGAAATGGGCCATGGTAAACAAATTCTAGATATCAGCAAATAATATCAATCAAGGCTTTTTTCTTTTTGGAGACTTTTAAAAAAAAATTTAAACCAATATACCATCACTCTAACTACAAAGAGCAGAGCACAGGGATTAACACATTTCTGAGATGCAGATCTGTTTAATAATGAGTCATTTTATCTGGGCACTGGTGGCTCATGCCTGTGATCCCAACTACTTGGGAGGCTGAGATTAGGAGGATCATAGTTCTAGGCCAGCCCAGGCACATAGTTCACAAGACCTCATCTCCAAAATAACCAGAGTAAAATGGAGTATGGCTCAAGTAGTAGCCATACCTATTTTATAAATGCGAAGTCCACTTAAACCCCAGGCCTGCCAAAAAAAAAAAGCCATTTTTCGGTCATAACCACAGTATTTTACATCTCATTTTAAATATTAGAAGTAATCTTACTCAAATTAATGACTTTTTAAAACTAAGTAACATCTATTCAAACATTAAACACTTGTAACAGATATAAATTAGTCAAAACTCATATACCTTTCTCCTTTATATTCTTCTAGGGGAATTTCTTGAAACGGATCCAAAGGAAATAGATGATGGTAAGACCGTGCCAAATGGGGAGCAGACACCAAAGTAAGACCTAACACATAAAACAGAGACATTTTTAATAATGCAAACCTCATGAAGACAATGGCTGAAATCTTAATGCCATAGCTTAGGCTAAATATTCTCATTAAAAACATTTTTTTTTGGTCATAGTGGGATTTGAACTCAGGACTTTGCACTTACTAGGCAGGTACTCTTCATCAAATGTTTTTAGTTTAGTTTTTGTTTTCCTCCCAGTGCTGGGGATTGAATCCAGAGCCTCATGCATGCTTGGCAGGCCCTCTTCCTACCACTAAGCTATATCCCCAGCACTCAAGTGTTTTTAGGACTGCAGCTATTTATTTCTCAGTTTACCTGTGGCTATGAACAGATATTCCAGGATGCAGTCTAGGTTTTGTCACTAAGTGTGCAACCACTCTTGGCCTATTTACTTGCTTATAAATGAAATAAAATTGATAATTCTATTATTTTACTTCTTCATTCTATATTACATTTTATATTACATAACATTATACATATTTTATAAAGGTAAGAGCCAGAAAAATGTCTACTAAATTACAGTGACTCTTTCAGAAAGAGAATCGGGTTAACTTTTCTATAATGCCACTTTATTCTTGAAAGTGGAGTATTAAGCATTCAACAAAAAGAACAATCTGTTTCTCTGTACATATTATACCCATAAATATAGGCAGAATTCAACATTCACATTTATTTCAGCAGCATAAAGACAGCATGTAATTTACTGAAGAAGGAATAATCAGTATCTTACCACATATTTTACATTCAACAGGAAGCTCACAGTACTTTGCCCGACACTGTGGGCAGAAGTAGCCTCCTAACGTAAGCCCTGGCTCAGTACTGTTATCCAAATGCCTGCAGGAGAAAAAAATTACTTTAAAAAGGTCATACACATAAAGATGTGAAAAACAAGAGCTAAAAGAAAGTATGTCACTTGAGTTTTAAGCTCTGGATTCTATTTTAAAATCTATTTAAAACTTTACTTGAAAATATGTGAATATGTCTTGTAGTTTGCATGCTGTTCATTTTTTTTCTTTATTTTTATTTTACTTACTGCAAAATATGTTCATTTTTTTTCTTTATTTTTATTTTACTTACTGCAAAATATATAGTAATCTTTCCTTCTGCGGTGACTATTTGTTAATCTCATCTAATGTACTTTTCATCAAACACGTCATATTCTTCATTTCCAGAAGTTTTAGTTTGGTCTTTTTTATACCTTCCATACCTTTTCTTATCATTGTCAGGTTTCCTCAACTTTCCTAAACATATGGAGTACATTTATAATTGCTGTTTTAGTACTGTTCTCTGCTAATTCTATCAACTGTTTTTTGTTGCTACATTTACTTTCTATACTAGCTCTCTTAGTTATGGGTCATATTTTCCTTTGGCTGCCTAGTTTTTTGTTTGTTTGTTTGTCTGTTTGGCAGTACTGGGTTTTGAACTCAGGGCCTTGTGCTCGCCAGGCAGGTGCTCTACCACTGAGCCACACACCAGCCCTTTTTGCTTTAGGCATTTTTAGAACAGGGTCTCTAGTCTGTTCTCCTGGCTGGCCTGGACTGAGATCCTATTTAGGATCCCAGGTAGATGGGTTGACAGGCCCATCTTTTATTAACTGAGATGGGGTCTTTCAAACTGTTTTGCCAGGGCTGAACTTGAATGGCAATCCTGCTAATCTCTGCCTCCAGAGTAGCTAGGATTACAGGTATGAGCCACTATACTTGGCATGCCTAGTCATTTTTGATTAGTTGCCAGATATTGTGAATTTTGTCTTATTTTGGGAGATAGATTTATTTTTTTTAATTCTCTTAATTTTGTTCTGGAATGTACTGAAGTACTTTGCAAATAGCTTAATCTGTTCAACTCTTGCTTTTAAGCACTGTTAATCTAGTCCAGGACAGCCAGTAATCTAAGGTTAATTTGGTTCCATTACTGTGGACTCTATAAAATGTCTGTCATGATAAGAGGTCTTTCCACACAGCTGGTGAAAACATGAACTGTTCTTTGCCCTGTATTAGCTCTGGATCATTCAGCTTGCTGCTTTCAATAATTCCTTCCCTGGCTTTCAGTAGTTTCCTCGCACAAATGTACTCATCAATCCTAAGCTGACGAGTCACAGGCAAATTTCTGCAGATCTCTAGCTAGTAACTCTATGTAGCTCTTTCATCTACAGTACTCCTCCCTGAAAATTTATGGATACCTCAGCTTCTCCAAATACAGACATTTGTTTCTTCAACTCAGAAAAACCTTTAGACTCCACACTACCGTCTGGAAATTCTGTCCAGGCTGTAAACTGGAGCACTCACAGGGCACATCTCATCTAGTTCTGTTCTTTCAGGGAACATTATCTGGATAGTCTATTGTCCAATGTTTGAAATCATTATACACACACACACACACACAACACACATACATATATGTATACATACATATATATATATATATATATATATATATATTTTTTTTTTTTTTTTTTTTTTTTTTTGGCAGGAGGGTAAATCTCGTCGCTGGTACACCATATGGCTGGAGGAAGAAGTCTTGTTTGTGACTCTGAAGAATCAATTTAAAATTTTATTTTATAATTATGTAAAATATAAATCTCTCAAGTCAAAACTAGGTGCTATCACTTTGCCTTTTCCAACACATGCACCAAGGTAAACATTCTTTAATTTTTATTTTCTATTTCCATTACTATTGTTTTCATTATTAAGATAAACAAGTGAGTAAATCTACTCACTTCTCCACCTTCCTTTTAGATGACTGCTAGCACACTACATAGTTCTCTCTACCTTGCGACTTAGTAATATATGCTGAAGATCATACCATAGAGGAACACAGAGATAGTCATTCCTTTTTGTGGCTTCATAGAAGGTAATCTTTTACAAAACCCAGTAACTTCAAACTAATCTTTCCAATTTACAACTTAGAGAAATAAATTTAAAATGTTAAAATATTATCACTAACAATTACTCTATACTTACGCCATGCTGAAAGAAGGTTTTGCATCTTGATCAGACAAAGAAGCAATGGTGTGCTGAGGAAATCCTTCATAGATTAAAAAAATAATAAAATTAACTTCTTTTTCCAAGCAAACAGCAGAATTCTAGAACTATGAACCAAAAATTGTTGCTACTAGAAAGCCAACAAAGTTGCACAAAAACCCTTTCCTGCCTTATTAAAGAATGATGAAACTGACTGTAATTCCAAGCTGCTAGAAAAAGTAGAGGAAATTGGAATATCTGTCTACACCTATAATCTCAGATTCCAAATTTTATATCTCTATTTTTTAATTTAATAAGAACATTGCTTTTTAAAAAGAAAAATAGTTCATATTTTTGATAGTTTCTGACACAACATAGTCCACTTTTACTTTAAGTATATTTCTATGCTTAAAATTTTGGAACTCCTAAACATTTCATGTAATTTGTTCTCCATGTATAATTCTAAGTGCTGAACATGTACTCAGGAAAAGCAGAAAACATTAAAAAAAAAAAAAAAGAGAGATTTTATTACATAAAATTTTTAATTTATCTATATATCAAAACAAGTATGTAGGATAAAGTGCAGCTCAGAGGCAGAGCATGTGCTTAGTATGCACAAGGCCCTGGGTTGATCCCCAGCACCAGAAAAGAAAAATAAATAAAACTAAAGGTAGAACTGGGCACTGGTGGCTCATGACTCTAATCTTGGCTACTGTGGAGGCTGAGATCAGAAGGATCATGGTTCAAGGCCAGCCTGGGGAAATAGTTTGTGAGACCCCATTTCCAAAATAACCAGAGCAAAATGGACTAGAGCTGTGGCTTAAGCAATAGGGCACCTGCTTTGCAAGCACAAAGCCCTGAGATAAGGTAGCGCAGTGGTATATACAGTCTCAGCCCATCAGGGGGCTGAGACAAGAGTATCACTTGAGCCCAGTAATTCATGCCAGCATGACCAACCTTGTCTCAAAAAAATAAAAGTAAAGGTCAATGACCAGCTGCAAAAATAATTGCATCAGGTGACCAAGACAGGACTTTAACAAATCAATGTATCTAGGTAAATAAAAAAAAATGGAACTATATCAGCAAATAAAAAAGATTAGCCAATGTAATATTGCAAATGTACTGAATGTTAACATCAAGCATTATTCTAAGTGCTTCAACTTAGTATATACTAATATTATTTTACAGAAGAAATAACAGGGACAGAGAAGTTGACCAGTAATATATAAATGGCCAGAACACAAGGTAGAAAAAGCACTGCATTTCACTCACATCTTAAACAGCAAATTAAGCAAGATTATTTTTAAGTTAAAAAAAATAGATGAGTATAAATGTAATTTATGTACATTATAAAATTTTAAATGATCAAAACAATCATTTTCCATCCCTGGGCTGACTTTGAACTGCAGTCCTCCTGATCTTTGCCTCCTGAGTAGCTAGGATTACAGGTGTGAGCCACCAGCACCCAGCTTTTCTTTTTGTTTTTTCTTTTTCAGAAAGTGTCTCACTATGGACTCAGGCTGGCATGGAACTCAGACTGCTCCTGCCTCCACCTTCCGAGTGCTGGGATGTGCAAGGATTTCCAGCATGCAGCAGAACACCAGCCCCTAATTAGTATTTTCTGTAAATACAATGTATTTATTCATTTATAGACAGTCTGAGGTTTGAACTCAGAGCCTCACATTTGCTAAGCAGCTGCTTATCATTTGAGCCAAACCCTCATCTGTTTTTACTTTAGTTACTTTTTGAATAGGCTCTTGAGCTTTTCCCCTGGAGTTGGCCTTAGACAGGGATCCACCTACCTAGGCTTTCCAACTTGCTGTGATTACAGATGTGTTCCACTACACCAGGCTTGTTTGTTGAGATGGGTCTTACTTTTTGCCTGTGCTGGCCTTGAACCACAATCCTCCCAATCTCTGCCACCTGAGTAGCTGGGTTAGGTATGTACCACCACACCCAGCAACATAATTATCTATACCTTTCTAGCTTAATCATAAAGAAACCCATTAGTTTTCTCTGAGTGACAGGAGTACAGGTAGCTTTACTCTTCTTTATTTTTTTTTGTATTTTCCAAAACTGTTCAACACATGTAATTTTTTCTACTTATAAAACACTTAAGTTATAAAAAAAGAAAGCAGGGCTGGGACGTAGCTAGCAGTAGAGTGCTCTCCTAGCATGCTCAAGGCCCTGGATTTGATTCTTGGCACCAAAAAAAAAAAGAAAGCATTTAAGTTAGAAAGTTAAAATGATGAACTTGTGCAAATGAAAATAGTATAATCTAGTTTCAACTAAAACCTATCTATTTTTAAAATAACAACCACATACCCATCCGAATAAGTGAGCATTCAGAGCTTGAGCTGGCAGGAGGAGGACTAACATGATGTGTTAGCAATTCTTTGTAATGGCTTTCATCCAAAATAACATGGTATGTGCCTAACAAGATAAAAAGAAATATAAAAAAAATTAGCAGCTTTGCAGACAAAAGAACAAAGTACAATAAAGTACAATTTCTATGTAATTCTGTAAAAGTTTTATCATCTGAAAATGTACATTTTCAAGATAATTTTAGATAAATCATCTTAAAAGCCTTTCTACATCTCTAAATTAACTTCTCTAGAAATAAATAATTATAATTTAAAGCCAACTTATAAAAGCTTTACAAAGAATTACATATAGTAAAATTACTAACTTTTCTTTCTTTTTTTTTTTTTTTTTTTTTTGTGGTATTGAGGTTTGAACTCAGGGTCATGCTTGCTAGGCAGGTGCTCTACCACTTGAGTCACTCCACCAGCCCCTAACTTATCAACAATTATAATACTTTCTTTAAACACTGACCTAACTACTGAAAATTCCTTGCATTTTGAGATGATTTCTTATAGAATCAATGATAGAGTGAAGATGACTGTCCATATTTAGACTATGGGATATGAAATGTTTTAAGTTTAGTGGGGTAAAATTGACTAAAACATCCTAATTTAATTAATAAATTATTTCTTATCAATTAATGTTGAAGATAGTAGATATATACCTCCAGTTTCACGAGCAAGTATAGTGCAAACTCGAACCTCTGCAGACAATCCAATAACAGACACTCTAATTTTAGCTGCTTTTAGGGTCTTCATAAAAATCCAAGAAAAAGAAAGGTTTTTAAGAGAAGAAGAAAAATATTGAAGAGTTAATGTCTCTGAAAACTAGTGATAACTTCACTACAGTATTCTCTTTAGAATGGTAACTTTAGTTTTGATGCATTGGCTCTACCTTAATTAGATCATAAATATTGGATGGATCACAAGTTGTAAGGCTGCTGAAGATGATTAAGACTTCTCTACTTGTATGTCCAGGCATGTGTCTAAACAAAGGTAAGATACACTCCAATTAGCTCTAACAAATCATACTAGTAAAAAATTTAGTCAATGATAGTACACATGGTTTACATATTTAGACACAGAATAAACTCATTTGTTTCAACATTAAAGGTAATGAATTTTAAACCTTTTTTTTTTTTTTTTTTTTGATGGGACTGGGATTTGAACTCAAGCAGGAACTCATGCTTGCAAAACAGGTGTTCTACCCCTTGAGCCACACCTCCACCACCAAGTTTTAAACATTTTAATGTAATTTTTTTCTTTCTTTTTTTCTTTTGGTGGTACCAGGGGATAGAACCCAGGGCTTTGTGCATGGAAGGCAAGCACTATGCCACTAAGCTATATCCCCAGCCCTAGACTTTTCAAAAATGATCTATAGACTTAAAAAAAGTTACTCACTGAAATACATACTTACTGAATTTTCTCTTAAGTTTTGGAGATAGCATAATATATAATTCTGACAAGGCTTCTGACACACGAAGCTTATATTCTAGAAGATTTGTTTCACACAAAGTCTAAAGTGTACATTGAGAAATATGACCATATCAAATGGATCAACTTTAAGGTGTATATATATATGGCCTAACAATATAACACATTTCTTTCTTAAAGACTAGCATTTAGTCTCCTGATGATTCACAGTCACAGTAATCAAAAATGTTAAGCTTGTGTATCACTTAATTAAATGATGGTTTTAAAATGTGGTATAAGTTTTTTTTCCTATACTAAATAGGAATTTCTATAATTTTGGGGACAATTTAGTCAATTAGTTATAGCTACCCTGTTTATATTTTCATTGTTATCCTCTCTGCTCCCTCCTTCTCATATACTTTAAAACTAGAAAAATGTCTATTATATAAAGGTGTAATGCTCAAGCCAGGACAGACTATCAAGACATAAAGTATATGAGCTTTAACTATGTTGAATATTTTGGAGGGTACTGCTATTATTCCATATAGCCGGACAGGCTGAAAAATGTACTATTAGAGACACATTATAAAATTATGTTAATAAATATAAATTTATAAATATAAAAATAAAGGTACAACCAACTCACAATTACCATAACATACTAAGTTCTACATTCAATCCACTTCCCTTTTTTTCTTTTTTTTTTTGTGTTATCTGGAGTTTGAACTCAGGGCTTCAAGCTTGGAGCCACCTGGCTTTTTTCTTTTCTTTTTTTTTTGAGACAGAGTCTCGCTATATAGCCTAGGCTAGGTTAAACTCATGATCTTCCTGCTTTAGCTACCAGGCACAGCTAGACAATCCATTTTCAATAAAGTATTTATTTTTCCATCAACATAATTCTTTTGTATTACCGATAATGCTGACAGTTTTGCTATATATTTTTTTTTTTTTTTTGCAGTGCTGGGGCTTAAACCCAGGGCCACATACATGCTGGGAAAAAATCTCTACCACTGAGCTACAGCTATAGCCCTCTTACACTTTTCTAAAAACATTTTTTTTTATGTGGTACTGGGGCTTGAACTCGGAGCCTTCACCTTGAGGCACTCCACCAGCCCTTTTTTGTGAAGGGTTTTTCTTGTTTTTAAATTTGCTTATTCATATGTACATACATTGTTTGGGCCATCTCTCCCCCCATGAAGGGTTTATCGAGATAGGGTTTCTCGAACTATTTCCCTGGATTGGCTTCAAACCTTGATCCTCCTAATCTCTGCCTCCTGAGTAGCTAGGATTACAGCGTGAACCACCAGTACCTGGCTTTAAAAATCTTTTAAGAATATACCTCACCTAACAAGATGTAAAATAAAAATTACTAACCAACACCAAAATAAACACCATACATGACATTAGATATTTTTTCTACTTATTTTGTAATAATGGGCTTTATGAAGACACATGCTAATACATTATTCCAACCTAACTCATTGAAATAATTTCTGAATAAACTGTAAATAATAAATGTAAAATACTAACTTCAGAGTCTGCATAGCCATGCTTAAGGAATTATAAAGAGATGGTTCCCCATGGCAGGTCAGATCTACAGCTTTCTTCAAAGATGTTATGTGTTTCCTTGGGTTTCCTAAAATAAAAATGAATAATCTACTTTAAATGCTATATATATATATATATATATATATATATATATATATACATATCTCACACAACATTGAAATGTATGCTTCTTCCAAAATTTACATATCTATGTTACAGAAAAACATAAGATCTACGTTATCAAAGAAAAGAAATGCCTTTGATTTAGATTTTTATCCTAAATGTTTGGTACAGGGGAGGAGGGGGGAAGGTGGCATAAAAAATGTATACACATGTAAACAAATGTAAAAATGATAAAAGAAAAAAAAAAGAAAGGTTTGGTAGATAGTCTCACCTCATCCTGAAAAATATAAATTATCTTTTCTTCATATTCATTAGCATACATTTAAAAATATTAATATGTAATAATTTTATTCTTAAATGTTTTACCATTTTAAAAACCAATATATTTTCTTTTCTTTTTCTTACTTTGGTGGGACTGGGGTTTGAACTCAGGGCTTCACACTTGCAAAGCAGGTTCTTTCCACATGAACCATGCCTCCACTCTATTCTCATATTTTGACCTCTCTAAAATGTGTCTTACACATTTGTTGCTCTTAACGCAGAGAAACTAAAGCAGATACCTTAAAAGCAACTGAGGCCAATAGGAGAAGGGAACCAGGAACTACAGAAAAGGTTAGATCAAAAAGAATTAACGTAGAAGGTAACACACACGCACAGGAAATTAATGTGATTCAACTCCCTGTTTGGCTATCCTTATCTCAACCAGCAAAAACACTTGTTCCTTCCTATTATTGCTTATACTCTCTCTTCAACAAAATTAGAGATAAGGGCAAAATAGTTTCTGCTGGGTATTGAGGGGTGGGTGGGAGAGGGAGGGAGTGGAGTGAGTGGTAAGGGAGGGGGTGGGGGCAGGGGGAAAAAATGACCCAAGCCTTGTATGCACATATGAATAATAAAACAATTTAAAAAAATAAAATAAAATGTGTCTTACAATCACTGGTGGCCAGGGAGCACTTATGACACAGTTGTCACTGCCTGCTCATGTGTGAACTATGAATAGCTTATCATCTGCCACTGCATCAAGGGCATCATGTACTATGCTATTCAAGTTGAGTATAACTGCATTTGAAATGTCTTTAGACTGATTTGGTGGTGCAAGTCTGACATATAAGCACTCAGGAAGCTGAGGCAAGAGGATGGAAAATTTAAGACAAACCCTATCTCAAAAAACAAGGCTGGGCACAGTTGTTCACATCTGTAATCCCAGCTACTTAGGAGGCAGAGATCAGGAGAATTGCAGTTCAAGGCTAGTCCAGACAAAAAGTTATGGAGACCCCATCTCAACCAATAAATGGCATGGTGGGTCATACCTGTCATCCCAGCTACTTGGGATAAAAAAAAAAAAGGAAGTTCCCAGTGCAAGCCAGTCCAGACAAAACCTTGAGACCACATTAGAGCAAGTACAAGTTTAAGCCCCAGTACTGTGGGGTAGAAAAAGGGCTTTAAGACCTAAGAAAGGAAGATTCCAACAAATAAGCAAACTGCATTACCTTGTATACATCTGTAACTGAAATAACATCAAGATTGCAATTGCAAAACTGAAATAGCAAAAAATTGCTTATCTCACGTCAAGCAATACAAGAGGGAGGAAAACTGCTGAGATTAGGTGACAGACATAACAAATCATCAAGAAGATGGTGTAATAAGTCACAGATCATTTGATACTGTGTGCAAGTTTAACTGCAAGGGCTTTTCCTTCTTTCTGACTCATAAAATATAGGCACCATAACTGATGGAATCTGAGCCGTTCAATGAAATACGGTACTCTGTAAAGATTTTCTATTTCTATTTTCTACTTCATATTAATCAATGATAACCGAAATATCATTGATTTTCACCACATAATTCATCAAACCACTTCCATGCTATTAATGTGTCAGTATTACACATAATGTTGCAGGGTGACCTTAATCCTCCTTGATATCATTTCCTAAGTATAGTTTCAGAGAATGATTACTTTTATGCTTTCCTAAAAAAATGCATAAAATGGTAAACTAATTTATAAAAGTATCAGTATTATAAGGGACTAGTTTTTTCACCATTAAATTTAATTTTGTTCACCTAAAATATATGAAGCTTTTTTTTTCCCCCTTGGTGATGCTAAAGCTCAAACAGAGGGCTCCTGCATGCTGTCCAAGTGCTCAGTGATGCTCTTATCACTTAAGCTTTTATTGTTTGTTTTGGGGGGTTTTTTTGTTTAATTTATTTTGTTTTGTTTTGTGAGACCGGGTCTCAAACCTGTGATCCTCCTGCCTCAGCCTTCCGACTGCTGCCATTACAAGTGTATACCACCATACCCAGCTTATTTTTTTTAATAGTTTCTGGGTTTTTCTCTCTTTTATCCATTCATATACTCAGAGCACCAGAGTTCTTATTTATCTGAGTAAGTTTTAAAATACTAAGCATTTGCCATATTTAATACTTACTACAAGCATTTTAGACTTATGTAAAGTACCTCACAAGTTCAAATCGCTCACTTCATAAGTGACAAAACAAATCTAAAAAAGTAAATAATTTTCCCAAAGACATATGCCCACCTAATAGTAGGACCAACAACACTCAATCCTAGATCTTCTGATTCTCTATCTACTTTTCTTTATGTCACCATACAAAATGTTTAGTAAATCTCTCACTGTGTCGTGGACACAGAAAAAAAGCATATTACATTAGTGTCAGTGTGGCTTACAGCAATGGTGAATGCAGGGAGAGTCTGCCTTAAAGAGGCCTGCAGGAATCTCTGGAGTTCTTATCTTTATGCATATACCTTCACTGGCAACCACAGAAAATTGCTCTTAATTTGGGCATGAAAGGAAGTAAGAGGGGCCTACATCCCTTCCTTGGGGGAGCCATCCTTCCGATATCAAACAATAATCCTACTTATTCCATGTAGTGCTGACTCTACAGCTACCTTGTTTCCATCCTGCTGTGGGCACAGGCATGCCAGATTTCTCCAAACCAGCCAACAGTCATTCCCCTGGCCACTCACTGATTTCTCATGAGTATGGCCAACAGGACTCTCTCTGAACTGGTACTGATGCTATAGACTAAGAGTCTACTTAGACCTGGGGCTACTAACAGACCTTTTTTCATCTCATAGATAATTTACCAGAAAGTGAAGCCAGACAAAGTCTGGATCCTAGAAAAACTGTGAAATCAGCCCACTTTGGGAACATATGTCAAAAATTTCTTTCAGTATTTTTTTGTGTGTGTGGGGTACTGGGGTTTGAACTCAAGCCTCACATTCACTAGGCAGATGCCCTATTACTTGAGCCACTCCACCAGCAATAATTTCCCTTTTGTAGTTATGCTAGCTTGAGGTGTTCTTTTTATTTGTTTTTGGCCTTTTCCCTTGTGGTTCTGGGAATCACCCAGGGCCTTACTGAGCTACACCCCCAGTCCCAGATTATTTTTTTTGGTTACTTGCAACTGAGTTTCTTGGATCACTCCAGGCAAACATACATCTCACGTCTGATTACCATACTGAGAAACTATTAATGAACAGTATATCATTTCCATTGCGTGTACTGGTGAAAATAAAAGATTGAGAACCAGATTTAAGGGATAGTGTATTTTACAAAAAATAAAATAAAATTAGTGATGTAAATTTGTACTAGCAGTTAGCTATTTTATGCAAGCAGAAAAATTAATTTATTAAAATAGCTAAAATTCAATTTTTACACTTTTTGTTCTTTACTTTTTTTTTAAAAAAACTGAAGATTAAATAGATGTTATGAATGGTTATAATAAGGTTATCTTAATATTTTCAAGAGAAAATGTATACATCATAAATGTATTTACATTGATGCAATTATTCACCACTGTGCAGAACTCGATTTAAAATAGTGCATCTTAGATACCAAGAGTTTAATGGGGGGCATTACTAAGTAGTTTCATCTAAAGCATAGAGGAAGGCTTCACTTTACTTATTTGGCAGCCATATGAACAAGGTTACAAAGTCGAGTAATTAAAGCAAAGTCCTTAGGTCCCGTAAAGGTAATTTGATGCATACCTGAGAGTTCAGTCAGTTTTTCAGCTCTTTTACTCTTAGTCACAATTATTCCAATCTCAAAATAAAAACAAAAATTATTTTAATATCACAATTATTTCATACAGATAAGAATTTATGTAACCAAAATAAGTTAGCAAATACTGAATAAATAAGCAACATGATAAACATTTTCTCATGGTGTTTTTGACAAATAAATTGAGCGGTGAGCTAGCACTGTTACATCATTAAACACTGTACTGTTTAACACTAAATGATTTCATTTTTAGAGCTACTCTGCTTTTCACTAATAAATGTACCAGAAATAGATATACAATCTGGATCACTTAATAGTTCACAGAAAAAATGCTCTATTTTGTAAACTACAGGCCAGGCATGGTGGCACATGCCTGTGATCCCAGCTACACTAGAAGTTTTACATAGGAGGATATCGGTCTGAGGCTGGCCCAAGGCAAAAAAGTGAGATCCTATCTGAAAAATAACAAAAAAGTTAAAAAGACCTAGGAGTGTGGTTCAAATGGTCAAGCAAGAGCAAGGCCCTCAGCTCAAACCCAAGTACCACCCAAACAATCAAATAAAAAACAAAAAATTGTATTTGGCAGCAAAATAGGAATCTAATTCTGAATTCCACCATTTATCTACATACCTGACTGATAGGATTTTGATCAAAATATTCTTCTACGAAGTATTCCAACAACTGTTTAAAGAAAATAAAATGGAAATACTACATAAGGGCAAAATAACCATGGAGAACATGTGCTACTAATGCTTGTGAAAACTACTTATCAAGCATGACTAATCATGATTTTTAAACTTACAGATTTTCAAGAAATGTTCAGTTGTAAAAATGTTCAGATCAGGAAGATTGAGATTAGAATCCAGCACAGGGAAATAGTTCTTGAGACCCTATCTCAAAAACACCCAACACAAAAAAAGGACTGGCAGAGTGGCTCAACTGGCAGAGCACCTGCCTAGCAAACATGAGGCTCTGTGTTCAAACTCCAGTACCATTAAAAAAAAAAAAAAGGGTTGGGCACCAGAGGCTCACGCCTTGTAATCCTAGCTACTCAGGAAATAGAAATCAGGAGGACTGCAGTTCGAAGCCAGTCCAGGCAAATAGTTCGCAAGACCCTATCTCAAAAAACCCTTCACAAAAAAGGGCTGGTGGAGTGGCTCAAGGTGAAGGCCCTGAGTTCAAGCCCCAGTACCGCAAAAAAAAAAAAAATCAACAAAAATGATGGATCTATTTGGACTTGTCATAAACAAGGGAAAGACTAGATGAAGACAGAGATAAAGAATAGAACTGACAAATTTGGAATAACAGGAATGTGTTTGTAAGCTGAGAACACAGATTCAAGTAAGTGAAAGAAAATGAAAATTCAGTGAAGAAAAGGGATGACTTACAAAGCAAGATCTTGACTTGGGGTGGGATGGTAGAAAATAAAGACACAAATAATCAGCTACTTTGGTTTATTATTTCCCTAAACAATCTTGCAGAAATTCCACTTAATTATGGTTTACATTAGCCAAAAAAAAAACAAAGCATGACAAAAATTTAGCTGGGCTCTGGTGGCTCACACCTGTAATGTTTGATTCTTGGGAGACTGAGATCAGGAGGATCATGGTTTGAGGTCAGCCTGGGCAAATGGTTTGGGGAAACTTATCTCCAAAATAACCAGAGCAAAATGGACTGGAGGTGTGGCTCGAGTGATAGAGCGCCTGCTTTGCAAGGGTGAAACCCTGAGTTCAAACCCCAGTCCCACCAAGAAAAAAAAAACCCAAAATTAATGCATTTTTTCTCTTTTTTTAGAATTCAGTGTCTTCCCTACATTTCATATAAAGTTAGATGACTTTACCTTTAAAGTACACGTCAGTCTATTAGGCTTTAAATCTTGGTCTTCCATTGTTCTTGATCCATCTACTACCACATAAAGGTGGCGCATCTAACAACAAAAAAATACGGGGCGGGATACACAATCTCCAAGCATATTTTTATTAAGAAACATAAATGTTTTATTTCTTATATTCTATTTCACATCTTCTATGCATACATCCTTAATATATTCTTTTCAAAAGTTTGTTTTACTATCATCTATTCTATCAAACCAGAATATTTCTCTAATACAAACTAGCTCTGTACCAGTAAAAGAGAAAATAAGGACATACCATTCCAAGTCGAACTTGTCCATGGTGCTCAAATACTCTGTTAAAATTATACAGACATTTTAATGGCACAACATACCCTACCAAAAAGTCAGTAAAACCTTGTGACTAATGTGCATTTTTAGTGAAGTCAATTATTGGCTTTTGGAATTTATGTAACTGTAGGCCTTGTGGACAGCTCCTGGGGACCATCTTCTTACCGGGGCAAAGCTAGGTTTCTACTTCTTTGCACCACTCAGACAACCGTAGGGGAGTTTCCCTGAAACACAGCTGAGATGAAGTACTAGACATGGTTATCTAAGGACACAAAGGCATTAGGGGAAGTATTTTCCTTTTGTAGAACATGCAGGAAAAGGTTACATACCTTTTTCTCTTTGCCTTGAAGAGGATATCTTCTATTGTAGCTTTAAGTGAGCCAGTTTCATCTTCTTTAAGAATTTCCCTGTAAGCAGTAATTATTTGAAAAGATAAAACATGAACTCAATAAAAATGTATGTGCAAAGATTTGTACATGTACATTCACAGCAGCACTATTCATAATAGCCAAAAAAAATAAACAACCTAAATGTCCATCAATGGGTAAATAAACAAAAATGTAGTATCAACATTATAATGGAATAGTAATTAGCAATAAAAAAGGGATGAAATATTTGCTACTCTAAACTACAATATGGATGAAACCTGAACAGTACGTTAAGTGAATGCTATATACAACAGACCACATATTATACAATTACATTTATGTGAAATACCCTGAAAAGGCAAATCTATAAAACAAAAAGAGATTAATGGTTGTTTACAGGTGTGGGAACATAATTAATTGTAAATGAGTATAAAGTATCTTTTTGGAGTGGTTAAAATGTTCTAAAACTGGTTCACGATAAAAGCTGAACTCAGTAAGTTTTATAAAAAAATCATAAATTCTAACATATGCAAAATACATGTCAATAAAGTTTAAGTAAAAACCAAGAGGCAAATGCCTTAAAAGAGTGGAGTAACAATGTACTTACCATGTTCTCTCATAGCCTCCTTCCCACCGCTTTGTTCTTTCAGGTTCATCATCCATATTTTTTGAAATGTAGTATATTCTTCAGTAGTCTGTAAAAACCATCAGATCACGTACTTTCTGAAGTTCTTGGTTATGAGGGCTGGAATTGTGACCAAAGTCGAAGAACACCTGCCCAGCAACCCAAGGCCCTGAGTTCAACCCCTAGCACCAAAAAAACCAAGAAAATAAAAAGATGTTCATTATAAATTGCATCCAATTATTTGAAAGTTAAAGACAAATGTAAAAAAGTAAAAAAAAAAAAAAATCTGGACTGGAGTGTGGCTCAAGTGATAAGAGCACCTGCCTATCAACAGCAAGTCCTTGAGTTCAAATCCCAGTACTATTGGGTAATAAAATCATCGTGTAATTCTTCCTATTTCTAATACAGGGTATGAATATTTACAGACCAAATATGGCACTAATAGAAATAAGCAGGCTGGGGGAATGGCTCAAGTGGTTAGAGCACCTGCCTAGAAGCATGAGTTCAACCCTCAGTTCTGCACCAAAAAAAAAAAAAATTGAGGTCAAGCCAGGCAAAAAGTTAGCAAGACCCTACTCATTCAACAAATGGGGCATGATGGCCTGTATCTATCCTCCCAATTGTACAGGAAACCATATGTAGGAGGATCAAGGAGTGAGGCCAGCCCTCCAAAAAATGTGATACCCTATCTGAAAAATAACTAAAGTAAAAAAGATGTGTATGTATGTGTGGTTCAAGTGGTAGAGCACCTGCCTAGAAAGCATGAGGCCTTGAGTTCAAACTGCAGTACTGCCAAAAAATTAAAAATAAATAAGTAAAAGGCAAAGGGTAGAGATCCTAGCAACCACAAGATCCTGGGTTCAATCCCAGTACTGCCAAAAAAAAAAAAAAAAAAACGTTTTGTAGACATGTCACCAGACAAGACTGTAGAATTTTCGGAAGTGAGTATACATGTAACCAAAAAAAGATTAACCACAACTGACAATTATTACAGGTAAGTGAGGATACATGGTTATCATTGTACTCTCTCCACCTTTGTTTAAGTTTGAATATTCTCATAATCAAAGGTTTATCTTTTTTGTTGTTGGGATTTCTGTTTGTTTCTTGCAATACTGGGGTTTGAATTCAGGGCCTCTCATTTGCTAGGCAGGTGCTCTATTACTTGGGCCATGCCCCAGCTCCCCTTTTTGGTCATTTTAGTTATTTTTCTTACATTTTTTCCTGAGGCAGGCCTCTAATGGTGATCCTGCTCAACAGCCTCCTGGGTAATTGGGATCACAAGCTCTGCACTACAGTGCCCAGTTTTTTCTTTGAATTAGTGTCTAACTTCTATCCATGCTGGCCTCAAACTAGGATCTCCCAATGTCCATCTCCCCAGTAGGTAGAATTATACTATAAAAGTCATCTGGCCCAGCTTGTTTTGGGTTTTTTTGTTTTGTTTTGTTTTGGTGGCACTGGGGATCATACTTGCTAGGCAGGCACTCTTACCACTTGAACCACTCCCTTGAGCCACTCCATCAAACCCCCCCAACCACCTCTTTTTGGTGGGTCTTTTTTGAGATAGGGTCTTGTGAACTATTTGCCTACGGCTGGCTTTGAATCGTGATCCTTCTGATCTCTGCCTAGCTTGAGTAGCTAGGTTTACAGGTGTGAGCCAGCAGCACTTGGCTCCAGTTTGTTTTTTGAGATAGGTTCTCACTAGATATTCCAGCTTGGCTTTGAACTTGTGATCCTTCTACCTCAGCCTCCAGAGTCCTGAGATTAGAGGTGTGTACCACCCAGCTGGGCTATGGAGTTTTCAAACATGACATGTGTCACTCATAAATGGATAATGCTTATGACTCATAATTCAAAAGAATACAAAATTAAATATACAATGACCTCAACTGTAAAGGAAAAAGATAAAGGAAATGTTTATTCACTCAATAAATAGGGACAATTGTTTCCATTTGGATGACAGGATTAAAAGTATTTTTATTTTTTCTTTTTCATTATTTCCTGGTTGTTGATATTTCATCTATTTCCTTAATAATTAAGGATAAAACTGGTAGTGGAGGAAACTCATAAACAATATAAGTAATAAACACATCCATCACACCCATACCCACACTCTTCCAGTTAATCTTCCCACCCCATGTTTGTTTTCTTCCATAGATGAGGGATCAAGGACTCTTAAGTGCTATGACATTAAGGACAAAAGCATACTCCCTGTCACTGGCAGGGATGAAGATGAGGACCATAACCAATACTTTATCCTCCATTTATATCATTTCTATAGAAAAACACTTTTTAAAAATTAAATAATTGAGCTGGTGTACTAGCACATACCTGTAATCCCAAAACTGAGGAGGCTGAGGCAGGATTACCAGTTTAGGGCCAGTCGAGGCTGCTTATCAAGACCCTGACTTATACAAAATAAAAAGTAAAAAACCAAACCAAAACCTAAAGAACTATGGGAAGTATATGACATATAAATGTACATCTAGAATTAAATAATAGGTCGATGACTTCACCTAAGACATCCCCATTTTTTGGGTACCTGCTAAAATATTAGCGAAAACTCTGTATATTTCCCACTGAATTAACAAACCACTCACTACCTTTGTAAGAGATTCATTTGTGTCAGGAAACAGGATGATCCCCTTAATATCATGAAGAACTAAAAGTGCCAATTTTTAATGTTATTCCAACACCCTAACTATGTTAGTGCCTTGCAGGTTTGATGACATGTGGCATGGCATACAATGACTAAATTGCACATTTTGCGCCTCTGGATTTTCTGATTAAAAAAAAAAAAAAAGCTCAAGCCAGGTATGGTGATGCACATCTGTAATCCCAGCACTGGGGAGGCTGAGGCAGGAAGATCTCAAACTCGGGCCTAACCTGGGCCACATAGGGAGATACTGCCTAAAAAAAAAGAAAAGCTCGCAAAATATTCTCAATGTTTCCAAACTTGAATTCTTAAAAAGGCGGCTGCTGCCATCCATCACACAAATATTTAAATTGCGTTTTATTTTTGGTTTATTATTATTAATTCTCTGAAGTAGAAACCTGAAGATGGAAAACATCTGGCTCATTGTAGGCAAGGACGTCTAAAGCAGAACGACCTTCCCCGGGACATTTGAGGATGGGAGGTGCGAAGAGCCCCCAAACTGCACAAGTAAACGTTTACCGGAGTGACTACCGTTGCTGGCTATCACATGGAATTTGAGGCCACATAACGGCAGACAGGTCACAACCTCGAACCCAGAACCACAATTCCTAAAACTCTTCCTTACTCGAGAGAACCATTCTCCACAGCGCCGCCCCGCTGTTCCCATGGCTCCCCAGACGGACCGGCCTTCCTCCCTTTCACATGCTATCCTCCTTCCCTTCAAGGCCATCCCGGCAATTCAGCCTCGGTCCTCAGCCCAAAGACCCCTCCTAGCCGCCTAGCCAGCCAGCCAGCCTGCCCCGCACCAGGCTAACCTAGGTGCCGCGCAGTTTAACACCCGCGGACTCACCGGTCCTGAGCCGCAACTCTCTGCCGGAAGTTCCGCCCCACTCTGAGAGCACCGCTAAAGTCCTTCCGGGGCGCACCGCGGCCACGCAGAAACGTTCCGGCTGCTGTGGACAGCGGCGGCCAGAGGAAGCGCACGAGAGCAGCTGCACCCCTCAGAGCTGACTCCCCGCCTTCCAGCCAGTCTGCAGGAAGATGCCGGAAGAGGGGTCCCCAGAAAAGTGCAGACGCTCGGCAACCGTGGTCCTGGGCTCTCAGGCGTTTCATTTTGTTGATATCTAAAGGTTGGGATGAAGGACTCTGACCGCAACAGCAAGGCCAGGACCTGTGCAATAGGACATTCCACAAATATCAGACTTGATGCCCTTCAAAGCACTGAGGAAATATTAATGCATACTGACAAAAATCATTGTCCTCGAACTTTTCCTCCTGTTATAAAGCTGTCAAGAAAATGGTTCCAACTCCAAAGGGACATTGTTATAATTTACTAGCACAATATTCTGTAAACAATAGGTAAGGTTGGGGGATGGGTCGGATCAGTTCAGTTTGGGACAAGTTTTTTAGATGCCCACAAATACACATGAAGTCATTAGCATTTCCCACACTTGGGAAACGGATAGGCAAGGCAACCCGGAGGGACCAGGAATGACAAAGCAGAAAAGACCGGATCCTCTTTCCTCCCCCATCAGCACATTAATCCTGTTGTCTACATTGTTTTATGGGTACCAAAATCTGTCCTCATCTGCATTCTGCCTCCCTCAAAAATATAGACAGAAGGAATCCTGCATGGTAGTGGAGAGATCTGGGTTTCAAATCAGGCTCTGACACATTGGTTAGCTGATTTATAAAACAGGTATGGTTCCCCTTACAGTACATGGCTCAATGGCAACTCCAGCCTCAATTCCTCCATAAAACAAGGTCTTATTGTTCAGTTTTTGTGTTGTCTTTGCATCAGACAATTTTAAAGGGAGAGATGGTGAAATTAACATTGTGGATTGTTTCCCAGTGCCAAGAGCCTTCTATCCTTGCCTTCTTCACATCTTCAGCCCTTTTTCAGGACACACAAACACTATACTTTTTCCTTTCCTGTTTTCCATTCCACATTCTTTTTGTCTTTTTCCTTCCTTCTTTCCAATGAAATTGCCTATCCTATTCTAAGATGGGGTGCATTCCTATAGGACAAATGCCAGTAACGCCAAACCCCATGTTTGTTATCCATCAATCCGGGAAAACTTTTTAAAGGAAAATTGGCAAAAGAACAAGGATACTCACAATAAGTAAAAATTAAAGCATGTTTCTGAAGAGGAGGCTGATACATTCAGGAAACCAACATTCAGGTATTTTTTCCAATGGTGGCTTTTGTTCTATGTAGATTTTTTTGGCAGTACTGTAGTTTGAACTTAGAGCTTCACTCTTGCTAGGCAGGTGCTCTTACCACTGGAGCCAGTCCATCAGACTTCTATGTAAATTTGACATAGATCTTAAGACTAAACTGGGAAGGGTACTAAAGCAAATCAAAATATACGTAAATCAATGGTAATCTCTAGCATCATGACTAATATTCTAATTGTATAAAAAGTAGCAGAACAAAGAAATTAAACTAGCCAAATGTTTATCAATTTCTAAAACTGTCACAGGTGCTTAAAAGCTGCTTTTGCTGAGAATCTCCCTTATTTGGGCCCATAAATTAACTGAGGGTAGGAGAAAAGCCCAGCATCTCTGCCTCCATTTTTTATTTGTCTTTGCACTAAGCCACTCACTTTTCAGTCACCCTGGGATCCAGGAAGGATAGGACTGATGGATAACATCTTTATGACAAGGGACTGAATCTGCCTTCAAGCCACAGTTGAGTTTCACAGAGCAGATCACATGAAATAAGGGCAATCACCAGAGAGCTGGAATCATCACTGGCACCCTGGAGCAGGAATGATCATCTTATGGGAACCAGATTGCTCTCCTCAAGTGATGACAGTGATAGCAACCAAGGTACTGACAATCAGATCACACCTGTAATTGGGACTGTTTAATTATGCATTCCCTTCTCCCCTTGCCCTAATTCTTCCTAGGTATAAAGATAGAGCTCATGTCTTGTGGAGAGTGGATTATGGAAGCCTATGAGAACTGGACACAAGCACGGCGAGATGTGGCTCCCCTGCTTTTCTGAGATTGGCACAGCCCGGGAAGCAGACCAGCTGTTTCTCCTAAAGTGTTTGCATTCAGAGAAGCAGGAATGCAGGTTTCTCCTGTTATGTCATGCCCCTCCCCGAGACCCTCTGCTCCACCCTGTTTACCACTGTTTATAAAAGACCCCTGAAGGAGGAAGAGGGGCTTTTTGCCTTTGCCTTTTGCTTTTGCCTTTTTGGTGTGGGAAGCTTTTGGAAGGGAAAAGAATTGCTAAAGGGAAATTGCTGAAGGGAAAAGAATGGCTAAGGAGAGGTTGATAGAAAGTCTGCTCCAAGAACTTTAACATAGGCCTTATTAAAGCTAAGCTAAAGAAAAGCCAAAGAAAGAACTTCACAGTGCAAGTCTAAGGACTGAGACTTTAAGAGTTATGCATATGCAGTTTGTAGGTGCTGCTGTTGTTTGCAAGTCTGAGCACCGAGGCTTTAGGAAAGCTAAATAGAGATAGGACAGTGCAAGACTGGGGGTAAAGACTTTGAGATTAACAGCTAAAAGAAAACATGGGATAGTGTGAGTCTAAGGAAAGAGGTTTTAAGCAAGGTTTTGAAGAAGGCTTTAGAAATAAGGTTTTAAAGAACTGCAAAGGAGTAAAGCCTTAAAGAATCAAGATAGAGAAAAGAAGCAATGAGGGTTGTGCACCTCCAGCCTAGTGCCCAACACACCTCACCCCACTTTCTGTCTATCCTGTATCCTGTGTCTTTTCTGAATCTCCAGTCACCCCCAGTTAGGTTCAGTAATAACCAGGAGGGAGAGAAAGCTCACTCTAACAAAGGAGGGAGTGAGAAAACAGCGCCCCCTCCAATGTCTGTACCCCGAAGATGGCTGAAGATAGACTACAGTGCTATCTTCTCATGGCTCCTGTGCCAAGAAATAAACCTCCTTTCTCTGCTCTTCATGAATCTCTGTATTTGATATATACAGGTAAGTGGCTGGACCTGACATGTGAAATCCCAGGAGTTTGGGCCTGGGACCTAAAACTTTGGTTTCAGCTTTTGATGAACCGGCCAGGAGAAACTAAACAATACAGGATGGAAGAATCTGTTCTGTGCCCATGATGGCTGGACATAATCCAGAGTTGGGAAATCACATACAATCCAAACAGTGGAATCTAACTGAAACACAAAAAAATACTTAACATGAAAGACAGGGAGAGGTGGACTGTTTAGATGAAAACTATTCCAGGGAATCACTCACTTAAAAAACTTCCAGGTCTGGGGATATAGGTGATTTTTTTTGCCCAGCACGGGAAAAAAACAACAAAACCCACCATTTTCTAGGTACAATGGTGGTCACTTATAATTCCCAGATACACGGAAGCTGAGGCAGGAGGATCTCAAGTTCAAGGCTAGACTGGGCTACATAGTGAGACACTGCCTCAAAAATAGGCCAGGTACAGTGTCTCACACCAATAGTTCTAGCTACTTGGGAGGTGGTGATTAGGAGGATCATGTTTTGAGATCAGCCCTGGCAAACAGCGAGACCCCATCTCAGCCAATAAAAGCTGGGTGTGGTGGTGCATGCCAGTCATTCCAGCTATGTGGGAAGTATAAATAAAAGAATTGAGGTCCAAGTCAGCTTGGGCATAACCAAGACCCAATTCAAAACATGTTAAGGCCAGCAACACACACACACACACGCAAAGCTGACTGTGACAGTATGAAATCATGATCTTGATGTGGAACTGTATTTGTTCTAGCCTCCAAAGCATTTATTCAACATCTACAAATAGTCATAATGTCAAGTCTAATGCATTATCTGCCTAGATTTAAAGAATTTAAAACTATACCCAACACAGACCAAGCAAATAGGATTGAACACAAATATCTTTTACAGATACAAAAAGCTGAGGTACAGAAAAGTTAAGTAATTTTCTAAGTTTCAAGTAACTGTTGGAGAGGAAAGCAAGAATAGGATTGTAAACTAGGCTCTGGTGGCTTATGCTATAATCTGCTCAGGAGGCAGAGATCAGGAGGATTGCAGTTTGAAGCCAGCCTGGGCAAATAGTTCAAGTAAACTAAGAGTTCAAACCTAAGTTCAAACCCCAGTACTGTCCAAAAAAAAGTACTGTGGCTGGTGGCTCACACCTATAATCCTAAGTACTCAGGAGGCAAGAGATCAGGAGGAATGCAGTTCAAAGCCAGCCTAAGCAAATAGTTTGTGAGCCCCTATCTCGAAAATACCCAATACAAACTCAGCTGAAGGAGTGGCTCAAGTGTAGAGGAGTGCCTGCTTAGCAAGTAGGAGACCCAGAACTGCAAAAAAATAAATAAAAATAAAAAAGGATCATATAACATATACAGGCAACAGCAAGATGATTCTGTAGAAACAACTGGAAATTTTTTTTTGAGGGGTGGCCTACCACATTTTGGTGTAGTCATATACAGACATTCTGGATCTATATCCATCTTCTTTTTCTAATTCCAAAGGGGCATTATTACAATTTACTAACACAGTATTATCTAAAACATATCCAGATTATTTAGGTTTTTATGCATGTTTCCTCCCATTAGAAGAAATGTTAACAATATAAAACACACGAGGATAGCCAGGTGTGGTGGCACACACCTGCAATCCCAGCACTCAAGAGTGTGAGGCAGGAGGAGGACTGCAAGTTTGCAGCCAACCTGAGCTTCATAGCAAGACCCTGTCTCAAAAACACAAAACACATGAGGGATATTGTAGTCCCCTTTGTAGTTTGTCCTTTCAGAAAACTGATAGCATGGGATAGGGTAGTAGAGTCATGAGCAGCAGATCAAGTATGAATTCTGGTTCCTTCAGGTGAGACTTTGAAAAAATCCAGACAAGACATTTCCACCCTGACACTAAGGTAGGGAGCATGACTTTGTTGGAGGAACTCCCACACCCCAACTGAAGCCAGAGTCCCTGGATCACTCTACCTGAGCATGCCCATTTAGGTCTTCACTGATCCATCAGATGAACCATTTTATGTTAGTTAAAAGGAGTTCAGGTACATTCAAAATAGGATGCTTTATTAACATCAGACACAGAAATGCTACATTAGCCAATCCATTAATTAACAAAGTCAATCCAGAATGACAGCATAGAATTTAGCAATCCAACTGAGCAACATTCCATTTGTATTTTATGACTTGCTAGTGTGTAACAATGGGCCAGTTAAGGCATCAAATTATTGGTTTTCTTATCTATAAAATGAGACTGGTTATATGTTAAATGATTGTTGTGAAGACTGAGATTTTATGTGTGTGCATATATAGTATTAACTATAAATACTAGGCTTTATTTCAAAACAATATAAAACACATAAGACAAAAAATTATCACCTGTTATTTTTGGGTTGTGAGTCCATGTAGTTTATAATCTGTATTTCTTTAAATTTTTCAAAAATGAAATGAAAACATTGATTCTCCCTATTTTTAATACAATAAGCACACATATAGGGTATTACTCTATACAGAGAACTCTTATAAGATGGCTGTTTTCACAAGCAATTTCTTAGAACAAGAGTTAATTAGCAGAAAGCAGAAGGCAGACATAAGAACCACAGAAGGTCAGAATGGAAGAGACCTTTGAAATTTAACCTAAACCTCTCATTTTCCAGACTAGGAAGCTGCCTGAGTTATAGCCACCTCAAAGTAACTTTGAACTAGTCAACGCCAGCACCAAAAGAAAACCCAGATCGTGGCTTCCTGAAGTGGTAAATACCACATTTGAAAATTTATTTTTTTATTTCAAAGTCAAATATTATGCCACAATTTTACAATATTACAAAATTTCATAATTTTACAACTCTTCTTATTTCTTTTTCTGCATTTAGTGAAGTATTTGTGAGAACACTGGTAGATCTGCCTTCATAACTAAGTATATGCTGGGTGTGGTAGAGAACATCTCTAATCCCAGCACTCCTGAGGCTGGAGGATCACAAGTTTTAGACCAGGCTACATATTGAAAACCTATCTTAAAAGAAAAAAGTAGAAGACTTTCAAGAACAAAGACTTAAAAATTTAACACATAAAAATTGGTGGAAGTGCTCAAGAGATCCCATTTGAGGTGAGGCCAAAAGCCATGAAAATACCTTTTGCATTATGTGCAGTATGTAGAAAATTAAAAATTTCTTCAATTTGAAGAAATGAATCAATGTTACATGGAAACATTATTTAAAAGTTTACCTTTGGAAATAATTTGAAATTTTATGTAGAAAATTATGTACTTCAGTGTCTGAATTGCATACTACAGATTATTCTTCAAAAGATTTCCAGAAAAAAAATTGAGATGGATAAAGATAAACACCTTGGTTAGCACAGTATTAACTAATTTTACTTTACTAACAAGAATTTTCTTCTTTTTTGGAGGTACTGGGGTTTGAACTCAGGGCCTTATGCTTGCCAGGCAGCAGCTCTACCACTTGAGCCACAACTCCTGCCCAAGAATTTAAATTATTTTTAAAAAGAGCAATGAGAGATTAAGGACTCTACTTGAATAATTTGGTGTTCTAATAGTTCCAGACACCAAAGGGCTGGGAAATTACCAACTAGCACAGCACCCTAAATTTCAAACACCAGAGACAATGCCTGAGTGTAGTTTCCACAGCTTGGCATTAACAGCAAAAATGATGTCAAACAGGTCTATTCTAGAAAGACAATTCCAGGTTTAATACCTTATGAAATAAGTATGGAACTTGAATATTCCTGTGAGATATAATTCAAGCCATAATTATAAACATAATTTCTCTGATATAGTGAAAAGGTCCAGTTGGTTATAAAAAATATAGGTAAACCATAAAAGATAAAAAGTATTTAAAAATACACAAAATTCTAACCACAGGTTTAAATGTTGATTTTTAAAAAGTAATGCATATTTACAATCTTTAAAATTCACACATTTATTAATTTTACATGAACTTTATTATTAGGAAAACATGAGGCAAAAAAGAAAACACCCCTCTTTAACCATTTACATAACAGAAAAAAAAAATCCATTGGTAGTTTGGTAGAACACGGTACTACACAATAGCTAAATATAAAAGGCAGGGCTTTATAGTTAGTGGAATAATAAAACAGACTTAACCAAAACTGCAAGCTGAGAAACATGCAGTTTCACTTTGGAGACTTCACTGCAGGGACCCAGTTTCCTTATCTGAAAAGAAATGATTATAAAGTTACCTGTGGAGAGGATTAAATGAGACCACCTAACGGTGTCCTGACATCACTGTCTGGCTGGCAGAGTGGCTCAAGTAGTAGAGCACCTGCCTAGCAAGCATGAAGCCTTGAGTTCAAACCCAGTGCCTCCAAAAAAACCACCAACAACAACAACAAAAAAAGCCAACATCACTGTCTGAAAGTTCACAGCATGGTCAACACCCAGACCTTCCTATATTGTTTAAAAACTTACAACAGCATTTCATTGTTAATACAAGAACCAGTGTCTAAACAATAAAATCCGTAATTGGAGTGTTCAACCCAGTTGATTATCAAAAGCTACTTATAAAATGCTTCAAAATACTGATGATATGAAACTGATGATATTAAAGCTACCAAAACCTCGTAATGATCACAAAGGTTTGGCTTCCCAGGTGGGAGTCCAAAGTCAGTGTGCCTTCTGAGACTTCAGAAAGGTACTCCCTAAATAGTCCAGCAGTGTGCCATCAGCTTTCTATGTTTTCCGTCTGTCATAGTCTCCAACCATCTTCTTGATGTGTGACAATTTGCTCTTCAGCTGCTTGCAATAATTCTTCTTATTTTTATAATCTGCAGACTACAAGGGAGAAAATGAATCACGTAAATTCAACAAATGAAAAGAAGGTCTGCTGAGAAAGCAGAGGTGAATAACAAATGGAATATTAGTCATACAGAATTGCTTCGTGTTAAATAAATACACGTAAGGTTTTTGGTAGTATCACTAACCACATAGGCAGCTGGTTCTCTGGACTCAATCAGATATTCTAGCTTGAATTTTACTAAAGACATACTGATTTCTAAAAATTATTAAATTGCCAAGAAAAGTTACTGGGTTTTTTGTTAACTCATCATCTTAAAAAAAAAAAATCAGTAAAACAAGAAACTTGTTGTATCAGTCAGCTAGGGACAGGGAAACTGTGAACAGGGGATTAAGACAGACAGGATGTTTTACTATTTACCTTTTTTTTTTTTGGTGGTTCTGGGGATTGAACTATGGGCCTAGAGTTCACTAAGGAATTCAACCACTTGAGCCACACCTCCACTCCTTTTACTTTCTTTTAGTTTGTTTCTCAGGTAGGGACTCATGCTTTTGCCCAGGCTGGCCTTGGACTGTCATCCTTCTACTTCTCCATCCCAAGTAGCTGGAATTACAGTCATGAACAACTGTGCCCAGCTACTGCTTTGATGCTTTGTAATTTACAAAAATTTTAATATGAAGTTTTTAAAACAACAAATGCTTTAAGTCAATAATGCTTGATAATGCCAAGGACAGAGAGCAACAGGAGTCTGCATTGCTCACTCTGGAAAGCCATCTGAAGGGGTCAACCTAGGCTGTATGTACACATGCTCAATGGTCCTGCAGTTTCTTTCCTAAGCACACACCTATCGAATGTGTGCACATTTACAAAAATACTTGATGCTGCATTATTTGAAAAGCCAAAAATTGAGGAACCAAATGTCCATGAACTGGGTGGCTCACAGCCAACCAAGGCAAATAGTTCTCAAGCCCCTATCTCGAAAATACCCAACATAAAAAAGGGCTGGTGGAGTGACTCAAGCAGTAAGAGCACCTGCATAAGGCCCTGAACTCAAACCCCAGTACTGCCAAAAAAAAGCCATAAGCATAGGTGAATAAGTTATGTCTTAGTTAAAGACAAAATACTGCACGGTAATAAAAGTAAATGAACCACAACTACTGGCCAAAACATGCATGAATCTTACAAAAATAATACTGAGCAAAAGAGGCTGGTGCTAGTGACTCACACCTGTAATCCTAGCTACTTGGGAGGCAGAGATCAGGAGGATCATCGTTCAAAGCAAGCCTGGGCAAATAGTTCTCAAAACCCTGTCTCAGGACTGGGAGAATGGCTGAAGAGGTAGAGTGCCTGCCCAGCACATGTGAGGTTCTAAGTTCAAACCCCAGTACCACCACAAAAAAAAAAAAAAAAAAAAACCCTGTCTCAAAAACCACCCAATATAAAAAAAAAGGCTGGCAGGGTGACTAAAGTGGTAGAGCACCTGCCTAACAGGTCTAAGGCCCTGAGTTTAAACCCCAGCACTGCCAAAAATATACTGCGCAAAAGAAATCACACACAAAATATTTACAGTATGATTCCACTTATATAAGGATAATTATAGGCAAAACTAATTTATGATGTTAGGGGGTGTGAGGAACTGGAAGGGAAGGGGATTTGTCAAGTGCACTGGGAAATGTATTTCTTGATCTGGGTGCCAGATGTAGAGGTGCGTGGTGAAAATGTATCAAGTTGTACACTTATCTGTGTGTATACTTAAGAAAAAGTTTTCAGGCTGAGTGCAGTAGCTCATGCCTATAATCCAAGCTACTCAGGAGGCAGAGACCAGAAGGGTCATGGTTCGAGGCCAGCTCAGGCAAAAAGTTAGTGAGATCCCATCTCAACCAATAAAAGCTGGGTGCAGTGGCATGTGCCTGTCATACTAACTACATCCATGTCAGAAGTGTGAATAGGAGGATCTGATTCCAGGCCAGCACAGGCATAAATATGAGACCTATTTATGCAAAGCAAAAAAGGCTGGAGGCATGGCTCAAGTGATAGAGTTCCTGCCCAGCCCAGAGTTCAAGCCCCAATACCCCCTGCAAAACACGTTTTTTTATAAATTAGTGTAGACTGTAGCTGAAAATAAAGTTCTAATTTCTACTATCGCGTTCATATTGAAATTACAGGCCTGTGCATGTGTGCAAATAAGGTACTCCCAGTCAACCTAAAGGTTAAATGAAAATCTCACAATAGAAAAGTCCTTCCCAGAAGAATCTTACCATCCGGCATACTTACTCTCTTAACTTGCTTCAGTCTATTGTATTCATCAGCAGCAGCCTATTAAAGAGAAACACAAGAGAATGGGTTTAGTGTGGCATTTTCTCTCAAAAATAACATTCTTGGTGTTACCATCTGAAGCTAAAAAAGACAGCTTATGATAAAAATACAGGGCATTAACGTTATCAAGACTTAAAAGCTCTTAAAACTCTATGGTCAGCCAAAGACCTCAAGGAATCCAGTAAAGAGACATCACTGAGCCAGGTGCGGTGGCTCACGCCTATAATCCTAGCTTCAGGAGGCAGAGTTCAGGAGAACTGTGATTTGAAGCTAGCCTGGGTAAATAGTTCACCAGACCCTATCTGAAAAAAAACCCTTCACAAATTTCTCATCTCTTTCCCAGGCCAGCAGATGTGCCATGATGACAAAAGAAAAGTCTTTTGTAGGGCTGGTAGAGTGGCTCAAATGGAAGAGTGCCTGCAGAGCAGGCATGAGGCCCTGAGTTCAAACTTCAGTAATGCCAAAAAAAAGAAAAGAACAGTCTCTTGTAAAGTAAGATGTGATCTGGCTATGCCCCACTATAAAACAGATCAGCGCTCCCCATCAACTTCTCCACTCACCTTGTCTTCCCTGTGGGAGCGCCCACCAATAACCAATAGCAATTCCTTTAAAAAATCAGGCATGTTACTACGACAAGATTTCCTTATGGACGTAATCCTGCCCACCACTCCATCCTAGCTGGAGAATTCTAAGCAGTCACCACTCCGTGAGCCTCCTAAACTCTCCAGGCCTCAGCAGAACTGAAAGCTCCTTCTCTGAGCATTTAAGTTAGCAGTGCCTTCCACACGTAGTATCAGCATCAGCCACATGCTCTCAGGTTCACGTCAGTTTCTCTTACAATACAAGCTCGCTGGGGAGAGGGACACAAAATTGTATATCTTTCTAACTTCAGAACTTCCACTTTATCAAAGAAACAATACGTGATCGACAATGTTAATTAAATTGAGAAAGCTTTATGAGAACACCATATAGGAACCTAAAACAATAGCTAACTCAAGAACTGTAACAAGCAAATACTTCAAAACTGAAAAAGCAGATCACCTCTTGGAAAACTGCAAAAAGTATTTAATAAAATGAATATGCAGTACCAATAAACATACACAGTTGTGGAAAAAGTTTACCCTACTAACATTTGAAACAGTTTTCAGGCACTAGTGACAGGTGGGTAAAATGAACCCTCTAGTGCATTTCTGGGGGAATGCAGTTAGTATAATCCTGGAGGGCAGTCTGTGACAAAAGCTCAAATGCACTTTACTCTCTGATTAACAAGTCTGCATTCTGGCATGTTTTAGCTGGATGAGCAGACAAAAGCACAAAACCTAAAAGCTTGTCAGTGTCTTACAGGTACGACTGGGTAGGGAAGACATACTTGAATGCCTCTTCACAGAGGATTATACTCTTAATTAGAGGAGAACCGTAAAATTGAAAATGGTATATCTATTTTTACACACACACATTTATTTGTGTATACATGTAGGTATTTGTGTATATAGGTAAGTGCCCTACCACTTGAACCTCCAGTCCTGAGATGAAGGCATTTTAAAGGAACATGGGAGACAGTCAAAGCTAGAACAATGTGAGGGCTGGAGGCACAGATCAGAGGGAAAAAAAAAAAGCTAGAACAATTTCAGTAGTATTGAAATATAACTCAAAGTATAATAGACACTCATAAGTCGGTTCATACTTACATCAATGATTGATTAAATAAGTCAACAAGAAATAAACATTTGGTAAAAAGATACTAAGCTCTCTTTAAAGGGTCACATATCTGTAAAAATTTTAGAATGTACACAAAACAAAGCATGAAAAGGGTAGATTTTAAAAATGTTAGAGGCATGGCTAAAAGCAGTAGAGCAAACCCCAGGATTACCAAACGAACAAAAAAAACCCACACAAATATTTCCCAGAATGGTTGTCACATAACCAAGGACCATTGGCTTGTGCCTGCAATCCTAGCTATTTCAGAGGTTGAGTTTATAAGGATTGCAGTTCAAGGCCAGACCTGTACAAAGTTGGTGAGACCCATCTTAACCAATAGCTGGGCATGGTGGTGTGTGCCTGTCATCCCAAGCTACAGGGAAGATTGAGATCAGGAGGATCACATTTTCAGGCCAGTCTGAGCAAAAAAAGTTTGCAAGACTCCATCTCAATGGAAAAAGACTGGACATGGTGTTGTCTGGTTGTCATAAAATAGAATCATAGTCCAGGTTGGCCTGGGCAAAAAGTAAGACCCTATCTTAAAAATAACCAGAGCTAAAAAGGACTAGAGGCATGGCTTAAATGGTAGAGTGCCCGCCTCACAAGTGTGAAGCCCTGAGTGCAACCCATAGGAACCCCCTCCAAAAGTAACTTTACATGGACAAATACTACCCTAGCCCGGTGACCACAAAGAAAAACAGGTAACCAAAAAATATTGTTGAGTGAAAAAGGAGGAAGGATGTTAAAAAAAAAAAAAAAGAAAAAAGTAAGATAATTCCTTGTTGAGGAAACTATGTGCACTCTTGCATGGGGAGAATGTTCTAACTCGTATTTAGGTGACGAGGATTTTTTGGTAGTAGAATTTAAAGTGACATACTTTTTCTGTATATAAATCTCTGTTGAGAGCCAGTGTGAGTGGCTCATGCCTGTAATCCTACTCAGGAGGATCAAGGTTTGAGGCTAGCCCGGGCAAATAGTTCTCGAGACCATATCTGGAAAAAAACCCATCACAAAAAAACGGGTGGTGGAGTGGCTCAAGGTGTAAGTCCTGAGTTCAAACCCCAGTACTCCAAAAACAAACAAAAAACAAAACTGTATTGAGATTTTTACAGAAAGAATGAGTTGTTCTTCTAAATAGAAAAAATAATAAAGCTATTTTCTTTTAAATAGGAAGAGTAGTATGTATAGAGACAGATCATTGCTTTGTAATTCTTATCTACATTAGTACAGTCTATAATTTGAAAAACACTTTCATCCAAAACTGAAGAACTGGCTCAAGAGGTAGAGTGCCTGCCTAGCAAGATGAGGCCCTGAGTTCAAACCCTAATACTGCCAAAAAACAAACTAAACTAAATTTCTAGCAGTTCTAGTACAAAGGATGCTGTACCTCCATAGATTAGAGGTCAAATTCTATGTGATAAGTATGAACAGCAGTTTGAATTTACCATGTACTCTTCACTTTCTTCTCTGTAGTCATCCAGTTCTTTATCTAGACGAGAGAGTTCTTTATTGACCTCATCAAGTTCTGTTTGTAAACTCTTGTATTCCTGGAGGCCAGTGTCAAAATTTCTCTTGTAGAGTTGTCTTTGGTGATCGGAGGTGATAGGTGGGTATCCCTACAGATTGAGAGAGAAAGTGACTACATATATATCCTTACAGTCATAAAATTAATTCTTCCTCAAAGATAGTAAAGCTGGTAGGACATGCAGAAACACATACTTTTGTTTTCTGTTTTGTATGTGGAGAGGAAAGTGGGATACAAAAACTTTCTATTAAGAATTATTGGCTGGGCCAGGCACCGATGGCTTATGTCTATAATCCTAGATACTAGAGAGACAGAAATCAAGAGGATAGAGGTTTGAGGCCAACTCAGGCAAAAAAAAAAAAAAAAGTGAAACCTTACCTCAAAAATACCCAACACAAAAAAAGTCTGGTGGAATGGCTCAAGTGGCAGAATACCTGCCTGGAAAGGGCAAAGCCTTGTTAAAAGAAAAAAAAAAAAAAAAAAGAATGATTAGCTGGGCATGGTGACACATGCCTAGAATCCCAGCTACCAAGAAGGTGGATGGAGGCAGGAGGATCACGAGTTCAAGGCTAGACTGGGGAAAGTTAGTGAGACCCTACCTCAAAATAAAATACAAACAAAAGGACTGGACTGGTAGAGTGCTTGCCTAACATGAGTGAGGCAGTGGGTTCAATTCCAAGTACCACAAAAAGTTAAAAAAAAAAAATTACACTGTGGCAGGAGTGATGGTTCATGCCTGTAATCCCAGCACCCAGGAGGCTGAGGCAGGAAAATCTTGAGTTTGAGGCCAACCTGGGCTTCATAGTGAGATTCTGTCTCAAAAAAACCAAGGATGGAAATATAGCTCAATGGTACAGCATTTGCCTAGCATGCACAAGGTGCTGGGTTTGAGCCCAGAACCACAAACAAACAAAAAAAATGATAAACCACTTTTTATCTTTTTATATTACTACTCATGGTTTTTTTAAAACTATCTCTCATCATTTTTATAAATGATGTTGAATATCATTTATGAAGTTTAGGTTCAAGTGGTGGGAATGCATTTATTCTCAATATAGAATCCCATATGATAATGGGACGCTTGGTTTAAAGTATTACAATGAATTCTGGAACACAAAGCCTGTTTTGATCACTGTGGTGCAGAGCAGCTGGCTGGGAGTGGCTGTTTCCTACCACCTACAGTCTTCAGACGGTCTTATTTACTTTTGGTCTTGTTTTTGCTAGGTGGAAAAACTTGGCTTATTTTTTCCTCTCATTATGGAAGTAGACATTAAAAATGTACGCACAGTGGTTACAGGTGTAGCTTGGTGCTAGCGTGCATGCTTAACCTGTGCAACACCCTGGGTTCAATGTCCAGCCCCCCAAAAAATAGTACACATATGAAAACATATGCTCATTGTAGAAATAAGCCTGTAGCTGATTTAAGTATGAGGAAGAAACACTTGTGTCTGAATATACCAGCCATTGCCTGCATATGGAGATGGCGCTATTGACAGACCACCCACTGAGATAACACTGAATTGTTTTACAGGACTAAGAAGCTTGATAGTAATATGGAATTTCAAACTTTAGATTTAATAGAAAGGAATATTTAATCAAAAGGGAAATAAAAATTTGGATTTACCAAAATTTTTAGTGAAATCTCCCATGTTACAAGTTAGGCAAATGTTTTTTGGTTAAACCAGGGTCAAAAACCTCACATGGGGAAGGCAAATAAGGCATCAGAATCATGAGTGAGTAGGGGACTTCAAACTCCTCATGTCTCACCACCCTTCCTGAAGCCTGGAGAAGCCATGTTTTGATTAACTACCATTCATACCACTAGTATCTCTGATGTGTGTTGTCATTCTCACAACACTCGGCAAGGAAAAGGCTTCCATCACACCCACGTGTATTTGGTGATGATGAACCAGAAGCCACCGTTGACCCAGAGCAGCTTAGCCACAGCCTTGGCCAGAACACTAAACTGTTACCTCCACTGTTTATGAAACTGTTTCCCAGAATTCTTTGAACTTTAAAAGAAACAATGATCTTATCATGAAAGCTTAACTTAAAGGTAATTGCCAAAGAAAAGCCATCGCACACTGATCTGGGAATTTTATCATCAGTTAACCCAATTCCTCAATACATGCATTTTACTTATTTGAAAAGCTTTTCTTAGGTGACTGGCAGAGCTCACAGTCACTGCGTGGAGGATGTGAAAATGTGTTATGACACAGTGAGAGCCAAACAGCTCACTTCCACTTAAGTCTTCATTAAAAAGGGACCAAAGAAAAACACAACACAATCCAAAAAGCTGTCTCCTATCCTAGCTGGCGAAGAATGAAATGGCACCATGTGCCCAGTTTCAGAGGCAACAGCTGCAAACCTGGCAGGCCACATGGATAACCAGAGTGTGCTACCTGATCCAGTCTTCTTCCAGCTCATCGCAGGACTCGCCGCCCGTCGTGTAGTCCGTCTCATAGTGGTCTTGCTCGGCTTTCTTTGACATTCCTGCTCGTCCCTTCATGGGAGCACTTTTTGAAGGCATCTCTAAGTTACCACTGATGCTGTAATGAGACTGCCTGAAGTCGTCCACAGGTGAAGTCAGGGGAAGCTCGTGGGCCACTTCGGGCACCCTAATAAAAACACAGGTCATTGTTGAGTGACCACTGAGCACACCAGGCCTCTGACAGCACACTGCAACCACAAAGAGCAGCGATTACAAGCCCCAAGTGACATCAGCACGCAGGGGCAGTCACTGGAGGAGTTCCTATGCGCCACACTGAGCAGAGGCCCAGTTTCCTGAATTTGGTTTGGCACCAGCTCAGTCTTCCGATACACACCAGTAGCTTTACAGCTCTGATTGAGGGGCCCATTTCTAAACCTCTAAGCTAAATGGATCTCAGATTTCCTTTTAGGAAGTTCAGGCTAAGCTATGAGAGGTGTTTATCTGCCCTGTGCAGACTTATACAAAAGGCTGTCAGGAAAATAATGATTACGATTCTTTTCTACAGGTTCTTCCAGTTCCAGGGAATGCTGCGTGGGGAAGAACACACAGCCTATCTAACTCTCTGAGATAAGCATGCTGTAATAATAGTTTTATACTACCAGATATAGATTCTCTTTTAGAGATAAAACTTTGAAAAACTAAAAATAACATCTAAACTAAAAAACTAAGAAGCTTTATTTTGTACTGAATTAAAGATTTCATTAAAAACCAGGCATGGTGCCAGGTGTGGTGGTACATGTATCCCAGCATTCAGGAGGCTTGGGCAGGAGGATCACGAGGTCAAGGCTAGCTGGCTTCATAGAGAGACCCTGTCTTAACCTCCTCCCTCCAAAAAAAGAAAAAGAAACCATTAAGCTTTTTTTTTTTTTTGGCAGTACTGGGGCTTGAACTCAGGGACTATACCTTGAGCCACTCCACCAGCCTTTTTTTGTGAAGGGTATTTCGAGATAGGATATTAGGAACTATTTGCCCAGGCTGGCTTCAAACTGAGATCCTCCGGAATTCTGCCTCCTGAGTAGCTAGGATTATATATATGAGTAAGCCACCAGCACCCCACCCAGTAAGCAGTCTTTAAAAATTAACTATGCTAAACTTGTAACCATGTAGAATGAATAGAGGGTTATCATAACACTTTTTCTAATGTAATTATTTCATGTTGCATCAGACTTTCAATTGTGTGTAATGTTCCTGCCATAAGCATGAAAACAAAGGCTAGCTTGGGAATAAAGCACCACGAATTGGCACAAGTGCAAAATTCTTCTGAGTAACAGAAACACAGTTTTACTTTCCTTTGTACTAAAAGGGCAAGAGCAGGAATGAAAAGACCAAAGAAAAGAGCCAGACTTTCTAAGTATTGGTCTTGCTGTTCAAATCAACTATTAAAAATGTCTGATGCTTTCTTTTCTTCCTTCTGCTCCTAACTTCCAGGAGCCATAATCGTGAGCTTTTCCAGCAGGATTACTGTTTTCTAGGTGATCCAGAGCCACTTGTTTCTCACTGTGGTCAGGCGCCTGCATTTCTAGTCGCTTATTTCCTTGCGGACTGCTAAGGTTCTGGGGAATGTGCGTGTAATTGCAGATGGCAGTGGTATTGATGTCTGCTTTCCCAATTTATTCAGGTAATGTGACTCTGTGCACTATGGTAATGCTACTTCTAATAGAGGAAAAGTGTGACTTTCTCCACGAGTCAATGATTAACAAGTCTCAGACACAAACTGCCAGTGACTGCTTCTTGCTTTGAAGTAGCAAAACAAAACCTTCTTAATGCAGTGGGACTATTCGAGGGGTAGGGACTAAAAAGGGAGAGAGTTAAAGGACAAGCGAAACTAGAAGATGGGGTAGAGGGAAGCAAAGGCAGCCTCCTGCCATAATTTTATGATATTAGGTATTAGCATTACAAATATTTACCTTGGAAGTTCTCCACCTCTCTCTGCAATCATTAAAACACTACCCAGTAACATACTTGATCTAGTGTGAAAGCTAAAAACAAAATGCTTAGCAAGAGAACTTTTATAAATTAAGAACTATGTGAGAACTATTATTAAGAATTATTGAAACTTCAATAACCTTCAAACCTACTTTTTAGAGACAAGTCCTATGAGGGCAAAATATGTACAACCCAGAAGAGGTAATACACCTCTTTTCACTCACAGACGGGCATCCTCAGCCTCACTTGACCTCCCCTGGAAGGTCACCCTGTCCTTTGATTTCACCCTCATTCTCTCACATGCCTTTGTCGCTCTGTCATGGCTGGACTTTCAGTGAAGTTGTTGTGGACGTTCTCCTACCTTTGCTTTGCAAACTCTGAGAACGTGAACTTGGTGTTCCCAGGAGCACTTGGCCCAGAGTCTTGTACAAATGACAAATGGTTAAGATGATTACTGAACTGAAAATAGATGCACAAGGATCCTCTTTTTCTGATGACACAGTATCAGTGAAGGCAGATAAACGATGTGACCAACATCAGTGGCACAACTGTCAGGGTGATGTTCATTAGGTACATGGTGTTTTAGAACTGCTCAATTACTGGAGGGCATATCTAATCCTGGACAATCAGAGAACTTCTTCCTGGCCTCAGGGATGACAAGGACCCAGAGGCGCAATGACAATCTTCTTGATACAGAAGCTTGGGGAAGGGAAATTTGATTTTCTCAACCTTGGGCTAGGAGATGGATGCAACTCAGGGAACTGCCACCCAGATAATAAAATCAATTTACTAACAGATGAGAGGTAGTAGCATTTGAGAGCCCTGATGTCTTCTCAGTCCCCTGGATCATGCCATGCCTGAAGCTACTTGCACCTTTGGGCCTTATGCAAACCAGTGAATTCCTCTTTTTGCTTAAGCTAGTTTAAAATGATTTCTGTAATTCCTATAGCTTGCCTACAAGTCTTAACAGATCATCATACCAGCCTACGGGTACCAAATAATAGTCCCATTTGGCCTTGCAGGTGCTCTGCAGGGCAGCAACATTCAACTTGCTTAATTTACAAAGGTTAATTCACCCTAGGTATGGACAAGACAATAAGGGAGTGTGCTTAACCTGGTTCTTCCCAATTCACTTAGCAAGGATAGAGTGGCCAGCTAAATTCTGGCATCCTTGATACAGGATTAATTCTAATTAGAAAACTGCCTTCAAATTGTAAAGTGTAAGACATTATGATAAACAAAAGAAACAGATATGAAAGTAATTGACATGATTCAATTTTATATCAAGTCCAATGGCAGGCTAAAGTAATAGATGGTGATAAACATCAAAATAGTGAGTACTTTGGGATGGGGGTAGGTGGGAAGTGAAGGACAAATAGCACGTGCTGGTGGAGATTTCCCATCCCCCAGCAATGTGGACCTAGCCACATTGCTGTAGAAGAGACACAGATGCTATGGTTTGGATATGGTTGGAGTGTATTCCCCAAGGACACATATGTTGAGGGCTGGGTCCTTAGTGTGGCGATATGGGTGGTGTCGTAGAGGTGTTTTAAGAGGTAGGACTTAGGGCTGATGGAATGGCTTAAGTGGTAGAGCGCCTGCCTAGCAAGTGTGAACCCGAGTCCAAACTCAGTACCACTAAAAAAAAAAAAAAAAGAAACAAAACCTAGTAGGAGGCCTTTAGACCACTGAAGGGACTAAGGTACTTTAGGAAGAGTTTTTAAAAGTAAGCCCAACCCCTGCTTGTTGGCGCCCAGTTCTGAGATGTAATCTCTCCCTCCACTTGAGCTCCTTGCCACTTGGATGCCATCCATCATGAAGTCATCCCAGGGCCCAGCTGATGTCAGGAGCTGATGGCCTGGAGCTTCTAAAACTGGGAGCTAAATAAACCTCTTTTCTTTATGAAGTTAGCCTGGCTGGGTGTCTTGTTACAGCAACAAAATTCTGAATTCTGGAATTGAAATGAAGCTTTATAGTTTAACAGGGATGGATGTGGATAGGGTTAATCAACATGCAGTCTTCTCCTATTTGTGAGATATAATAATTACAGGCAAAAGGAGAGACTGAGAACCACACTTACCTCTGCTCAGTAACTTCCTTTCACCTTCACCTAAACTTCAAAACTAAAAATCGGAAAGACAGAGCAGCACACAGAATGACATTCCTGGAGTGGAAAGAATCTGGCCTTTCAACTCAATGGTAAGTGAAATGACACATTGTTATTTTAGAAGGGGAAGAGGACCCACCCCCCTACCCCCCCCAATCCAAGTCTTTGTCTTAGTATAACAAGATAAAAAGTATGGAGAAATTGGAGGGGGACAAAGAGTAACATTCCCTGTTCCCCATGCAGAAAATGGAAGCAAAGTAGTGTGTGTGTGTGTATGTGTATATGAGACCAGCACAGACACAACTGATTTTAAACACAGGCAAATACTCATTTTTACACTCATTCTGCCAAACCAAGGGAGATGCTAAGCTACGTACGGTGGTGTTGATTTGTAGGAAGATTCTGGATACGACTGTTTGCGACCATTCACTTTGCCATTGGAGGAGTAAGCCATTGAACTGTCAACTCTGTCCACATAGTCAGATGGGGCAGACAGGGGTGGAGGCATGTCTTGTGTGCCTGCAGACACATTTTTAACCTAGAAAAATAGGCCCAAGAGACACAATTATTATTTACCCTGTGACTTAAAGGGGAGACGAAATGGAAAAAATTACAGTATGTAAAATATCTCATTTATTTGGATCATTAAATACTATCAACTTATAATGATTTTTTTTTTTTTGGTAGTGGGGATTGAGCTGAGGGCCTCAATCCTGCTTGCCAGCACTCTACCAGTTGAGTCATACCTCCAAGTCCTTTTGCTTTTTTAGTTTGTCAGATAAAAAAATTTTTTTTTCTTGGCAGTACTGGGGTTTGAACTCAGGGCCTCATATTAACTAGGCAGGCACTCTACCACTTGAGTCACTCCAGCCCTTTTTGTGTTGGGTATTTTCGAGATACCGTCTCACAAACTATTTGCTTGGGACTGGCTTCAAACCACCATCCTCCTGATCTCTGCCTCCCGAGTAGCCAGGATTATAGTCGTGAGCCACTGGCATCCAGTTTCAGATAGGATCTTGTGAGTTTTTCCAGGCTAGACTCAGACTGAGATCCTCCTACCTTTACCTCTCTAGTACCTGGGATTACAGACATATACCACCACACTCAACAATGATTGCTTTTTTTTATTATTAGTGGTAACAGTCAAATCAATACATTCATAAGCATATAAACAATGTGACAGCTAGTTTAATAAGACCAGAATGTCCTACCAAGTAGGAAACAAAATCCTACCTGATTCTCACCCTGATGTAATTATGTGGCATAATGATCTGTGGTAATTGTCCCACTTGATCCCCCCCTCCTCAAATTAGGAAGACCAGGCTCATCATATCTTGGCTGGGTGAGAATGTTTATTTCTAATAAGCTCTCAGGTAATGCTGATGCAACACTTGGACAATCACTGATCTAGCGTAAATTTCGGGCAAAGGATTTTGATTCTTCCTAATCCATTCATCCCTAAATATTGAATGTTAAAACTCACAGAAAAGTCAGGTGCCAATGGCTCACACCTATAATCCTAGCTATTTGGGAGGATCATGGTTTGAGCCAATCCAGGCAAATAGTTTGCAAGACCCTATGTCCAAAATAACCAAAGCAAAATGGACTGGAGGTGTGGCTCAAGTGGTAGAGTGCCTGTTCTGCAAGCGTGAAGCCCTGAGTTCAAACCCCAGTCCTGCCAAACAAACAAAACACAAAAAAACACAAAGAAATTAAGGAACTCAAACTGATTTCTGCTATAATGCTATAATTTCTGCCTCCAAGCCTAGCTCAGGAGGATTGAGATTTGAAGTCAGCCCTGGGCAAATACTTCAGGGAGACCCTATCTCAAAAAACCCATCACAAAAAAAAAGGGCTGGCAGAGTGGCTCAAGTGGTAAAGCACCTGCCTAGCAAGTGTGAGGCCCTGAATTCAAACTCCAGTACCACCAAAAGAAGAGCAACTTTTCAAAATTAGCAGGAGTGGGACCACTTTAGCTTGGTGATTACAATGACATCAGGTTGCTTGGGTTCACACCAGATCTGCCAACTATGAGTTCTGTATTGCTTCAATCTCCTCATCTGCATATAATGGGGGAAACGACCCACTTCAAAATATTTTATTTTTTATGGGATCAGGTTTTTTTTATTTGTATGTGTGGTATTGGGGTTTCGAACTCAGGGCCTCACACTTGCTAGGCAGGTGTTCTATCCTGCCACTCTGCTGGCTTGTAAAGTTGATGACTAAAGGACATGATAAACTGGATATTGTAGCTCAGGCCTGCAATCCCAGCACTCAGCAGACTATGGCAACACTGAGTCCAAGGCCAGTCTAAACTACATAGTGAGAACTTCTCTCTTAAAAAGAAAGAAAAAAAGAGGTGTGGCTCAAGTAGAAGAGCACCTATTTTGCAAGTCCAAAGTCATAAGTTCACCCCAGTCCTACCTAAAAGAAAAGAGAGAGAGAGAGAGAGAGAGAGAGAGAGAGAGAGAGAGAGAGAGAGAGGGACAGAGAAACAGACAGAGACATAATGAGGTATCTCTTTTACCACAATGCCTTTTGAAGACAGTAAAAAGTCCTGAATGCTGAATTAAAGCCATTGGATCCAATCATCCAATCAAGGACTTAAAAAAAAAAAAAAGAATTTGCAGGTTACAGCAGACTTACAATTGAATTAATTTGTTATACAAACCTTTGCAGTTAGTAGAATCAGCATCACTATGATGTATTTCTCTGCCACACACACCCCCTACATCTTAGGTTTTCCATTCTTCCTATCATTAGGACAGGACCAGTCTCTCCAGTCACTTGAACATGATGTAGGAAGATATTTACCCACCCTCAGAGTACACAGCGGTATTCTTGATTGTTTCATATTCAGAGTCAGAAAGGAATGGGATCATTTCCCTGTCAGTGGAATTGATCACTAATTGATCCACACTCCAGGGAGTGTACTTAGAGCCCGCCACAAGGGGATGGGGTAGGAGGGGGTGGTGAATCCACTGAATTCCGTACAACAGAACACAACACTGAGCTCCACAGGCAAATGCTCTGCCAAGCCAAAATCCTATTCTTACTCTGGAGACTTCATCTGAATGAAAAAAGACTTTGTTCTCTTCAAAGCCCATTTTACTCAACTGCAGGTCTCTCTGCCCCTCCCTCTGCAGCTTTAGCAAAGCGCTGGCGTCCTTTTAGAGACTTTTGAAAGTCTGGAATGCCCGTCCCCCTTTCCTTGCCACCTGACCCTTCCCTTGGCTTCAAGTCTTGCCTCAAGGACTTGCTACCTCCTGGAAACCTTCTACCTCCTAGAGTCTCTGCAGAATGAGGCACCAACCTGTCCTACTTTCCCACACCTGTACCCACAAATCTCCCAGAGAGCACTTCTGCATTGCCAAGCAACTTCTTACAGTGATGGCACAGTCACTTTCCCCAGCTTTAGGATACAATGGACTGCTTACAATACTGAGGTGACAGATCATTTACTAGGTACAACCTGACAGGAAGGTATTACTCCTTTCTCAGAAATGGGGAAGCTGTGGTTCTGGGCAATAACAACTTTCCCAAGGATCTAGGCCAAGTAAAAATGGAAAAGTAGGCAGTCTCCTACTCTTTTCTCTGAGCCTCTAAAACCCAGCCCAGAGCCTGGCACAAATCAGGAGCCCAGTGTTGGCTATAGAAATTCTACTCATTGAATTCTGCTCTGTTTCTATGTTGTGTCTATCCAAGCATCTTACCAAATAACTTTTTTGTTGTTTTGTTTTGAGACAAGGCCTCATACCATGTAAGCCATGCTGGCTTCAAACTCCCGATCCTCCTGCCTCCACCTCTTGAGTGCCAAGATTACAGGTGTAGGCTACCACCCAGGCTCACAGCTGACCTTTATGTCACTCACCACCAGCTTTATCCTCCAGCACAGATTCTTGTTTTTGAAACAGAATCTCACTATGTAGCCCAGGATTGTCTCTAATTTACAATCATTCTGTCTCAATCTTTTTTCTTTTCTTTTTTAATGTGGTAGTAGGGTTTGAACTCAGGGCCTCACACTTGCTAGGCAGGCACTCTACCACTTGAGTCACTCTACCATCCCTGTTCTGTGTTGGATATTTTCGAGATAGGATCCGAGAACTATTTGCCAGGGCTGGCTTGCTTCAATCTTCTGAGTAGTGGTATTATAGGGCAATTCACTGCACCTGGCTCTAGCACAGATCTTTCATACGTTAACCTTTTTAATACACATACATTAAAAACTCAAAGGCAGTGATTGCTTCAGCCATACCTATACTAAAATTGAAATGCTACACAGATTAGCATGGCTGTTACACAAAGATAACATTCAAACTCATGAAATGTTTCATATTTTTTAAAAGTCCCCACCCAAGGCCAGGAGCAATGCCAAACACCTGTAATCTCAGCGACTAGGGAGGTGGAGATTGGGAGAATGTAGGTCGAAGGCCAGCTGGGCAAAAAGTTAGTGGTTCCACACACAAGCTGGACATGCCAGCTCATACCTGCAATTCCAGCAATGTGGGAAGCATAGGTAGGGGGATGGCAGTCCAAGGCCAGCCTAGGCAAAAAGCCTAAGACCCTATCTGAAAAATCACCTAAAGCAAGGTGGGGTGGAGATATGTGGCTCACTAACTAGCAAGCACTGGAGCTCAAACTCTAATAATGCCAAAAAAAAGTTCCACCCAGCTATGATGCCAGACTCAAAGATGAATAAATTGCCTTTGTTCTCAAAAGTAGCTTAAGAGTCTAGGGGCAAAATGTATTTGTAAAACAAGGAGGAAGGTAATTTTCCCTCTTTTTAATGTTTCATTTTCCCCCACCTCAAAAAGCTGAACTATGACTTCTTTTTTTCTAACCTACTTCATGATACCAAAGCAAAGTGAACATAAACCTAGTACTGTTACTTCTGAAGGACCGTAGTGCAACAGGGAGGGGCTCCTTTGAAGTCATCCTTTGCTCCCCCTGAAGGGACCCAATTACTATCCACACCGTCTCCACTTTGATCCTCCAGCCAGTTCTCTTCCCAGCTCATCTCAAATTCCAGAAACAGCAAGCCCTGCAGGCCTCTACCCTACGAGAGGAAGCAAGGCTGCCCCTCCACAACGGAACTGCCTGCCTCAAGTAATCAAGACTCCCCCAGAGCCAGCAGGACCTCAAAGAGCCAGACCTGAGATAATGACCAACCAGATCACAATTTGACCAAGACTGCTTGATTATGCGTACTTCTTGTCCACACCCCACCCCCTCCTTTCGTCCTTCCTCTGTATAATCTTAAAACTCTTGTGTCTACCCTAAGGCAGGGCTGAGGATACTGATCCACCTGCTCCTTCCCAGTATGGCCACACTGAATGCATAAATTCCTTCTTGCTTCACCTCAACTTGCTTCTGTAATTGGACTCTCTAATTGGGCTGCATCTGGTCTGTTTGCCGCCCCCCACCCAAAGACAGGCCTCTGGACCAGGACTTCAGTAACAGGAAGTAGAGAAAGCTAATACTGGGTGACAAGGTACTAGTAGTAATTTATGCAAACAGTCCCCAACTTGTGTTTCCTAT